TATGACAAGCCTGGGTTCACACAGGAGGAGTGGAGAAAACGCATGCGATTTGGACATGAATCGCATTCCTGTTCAAATCCCGTACTAACCTTTTGCAGTACAATTTGCGTCCATTTTGCGTCAGTTAAGGTATCTGGTAGTATTTTCAAGAAAACGTGTACTCCTGAAAATACTCAGTATGGGCACCAGTGCATCCCTACTCATATGAAATTAATCAAAAGTAATTATTCACAAATCATAAATTCTGTGGTTATAAAGTAAATGAGAATAAAATAACCAATTTATTATGATTTGTGTATAATTACTTTTGATTAATTTCATGTTTTGCGCTGCTTTATTGTTTCACTGATTTTTTTTTTTTTTTTTTTTATTTTTTTTTTTTTGATTTATTTTTGTTAATATTTTTGATTCGTATCAAGGCACAGGAGCATTCACTTTCAAAATTTTCACATAGTTCTTGTGGCGCAGGTTGTTTTTATTTTATTTCATCCCTACTCATAAGGCACACAGTTAACCCATTGATTTCCCCTTGATGTTAACCCATTTCTAGCCAGTGACCTTAGTACAGTGTACAATTTTATCGCTGATGACTTTATTAATATCACTAGTGACCTCAGTGTCCGTAACCCTCCCAGACAGTGTCTGTTAATGCCATATTGACCGCCACACTTTCACAGTCACACTAGAAGTCGCTGATCACCTCCATTACATATATAGCGTCTAAAGCTGCTTAAATGTCAGTATATATACCATAGTTTGTAGATACTATAACTTTCATACAAACCAATTAATAAGCACTGGATTGGGATTTTTTTTATGCCAAAGACATAGCAGAATACATTTTGTCCTAAATTTTATGAAGAAATTAGATGTTTTATAACAGAAATCAGAACATTTTTTTTCAACATTTTCAGTCTTTTATAGTTTATATAATAAAAATATAAAAATCCAGTGGTGATCAAATACTACCAAAAGAAAGCTCTATTTGTATGAAAAAACTGATATAAATTTAATTTGCTACAGTGTTGCATGACCAAGAAAATCTATTTATTGCAGTCAGCACCTGCAGTATATGGATTTTGACAATACTTTACATGCCAGATAAATGTTCGCTTTATAAAATTCAAAACACTAACAATAATGTATAAAGCCATTTATAACTCTGACCCAAATTACATCACCAATCTTGTGTCTAAATATCACCCAAACCGTACTCTCTGCTCTTCGCAAGACCTCCTACTCTCTAGCTCCCTTGACTACTCCCCCATGCTCGTCTTCAGGACTTCTCCAGAGCTTCCCCTATCCTCTGGAACTCTCTACCCCAATTTAGCAGACTATTGCCTACTCTGCTCACTTTTAGATGATCTCTGAAAACCTGTCTCTTCAGGGAAGCCTATCCTGCCCTCAGCTAATACTGGAATCTTCTACTCTTCCAACCAGTCTATCCCCCACAGTTATTACCTTTTGTACCACTAGCCCCTCCCTCCTAGATTGTAAGCTCCAAGGAGCAGGGCCCTCCTAACCCTCTTGTATTGAACTGTCTTGTTGCTGTATTGTCTCCCTTTCTATTGTAAAGCGCTGAGCAAACTGTTGGTGCTATAAAAATCCTGTATATAATAATAATAATAATAAAATATCACAGATAGTGACTTGCCATCCTTCTGCAGAATTTGTATTGATTGGGCTGATGTTTATTGGAGCTAAGGCCTCATTTTTATTAGTGAAAACCAAGTTCTGTGCTAGGCTGAGTTTCTTGTGGATGAAGGAAAGGGGAAGGGCATTATGTTTCAGGCAGTACTATCATTTTCTGCTGAGTCATTGGCCAGGCGCTGCTTTTGTCATTTGTGTTTTTTTCCCAAGAACAATTATTACACATCTGCCTAGCATTTGTATGTTATTTTCACATTTTAGAAAGTGCTGACTGTGTAGAAACAGAGGAGGAGGGAGAACTTCTGAGTTACTGGGTGAAGTGTGACAGCTTCTCAGTACTTCAGATTGTATAGAAAGACTTGTTAGTTTAGAAGTTGTTGCTTCTCATTAGAATAACAGACCATGGAGTCATAAGTCTCAACTTGTTTTTTATGGCTATCCTCTTACAATGTAGCTTGTACTTCTTGGGCTTTATTGTACAGTAATATTCAGAGCCCCACAGCAACTGAAGATTTCAGCGATTTACTGCAGTCCTTTTACTATAGTTTTATGTGTAATAGTAAAGTTGTGCACCATGTTAAAGGATACGTTCACTTAAAAAAAAAAAAAAAAATGAAATGCACATCTTTTTGCATGTAATTTAATTAGGAGCCTCTAAAGCATTGCACCAGCGATCAGCAGATCACGGGTGCAATATTAGTCTCCTGCAGACTCTCCGTGTAGCTGTCTGCTCATACATCGTACGGACAGGCACTTACTGAATGACAGGAAGGATCAATAAACTACGTAAAGCACTCATCAACGCCCTGGTAGTTTACTGAGAACTACAAGTCGTCAGCCTCAGTGGCTGACAGTAGTTGTAGTTTTCCCATTCACAGAACTCTGCACTAATGTGTTTTTTTGTTTGTTTTTTTACATTGTGACAACGGGTGTGGGGAGACGATCCCCGGCCCGCTGTCACAAAGAGGAATCGGGGGAGTTTAGGTGGTTGCGTGGGCTGCCCATTTAGTAACATGTTACACCCTAGTTATGGGTGTAACGTGTCATATTATGAAAGCTGAACTTACCCTTTAAGCTGTCCATACACCAATCTGATATAGACCAATTCCTGTCAAAAATTTGCTCCGTAGGCTGTCCTGTCTGCACCACCTGGCTTGACAAGTCCATTTTTCATCAAACTTTTTTGCCAGGTGGAAAATTTACTACCAAACTGCACCTATATCCAATGAGATGCGAACATTATTTAGGTATTCTGACAAATTTTGGCGCTCAGAATGCAATAGCTGACTGCAGATTCTACCATCTGCTGTTTAGAGGGCTAACATGTATGACTAGCTTTAGCCATTGAACAATGCAGAAAATTTTATTGATTAACTGAAGTTTTTGAAAATGTAAGAATACAGAACACCTTAAATTCCTCCCCTACTCTTTATACAGTGTTACAAAGACTGAGGAAGGGATATAAAGGGGCCCAAAAGGCTGTATCTTTAATAAGTTAGTCAGTAAAAGGTAACAAACTACCATCTTTCTGTGTAGTTTGATATGAAAATCGTTCATCTCCTATCCATGTAATGTATCTTTCCCCTGTTCTTCCTACTACTCAGAAGGCACCACTGTATGTGATCAAGGTTCAGTTTGCTGAGCAAAGAAAACAAGGGTCCCGCTGTTGTTAGTAAGTGAAGGTTAGGTTAAAACATTCATCTTTTTTTACATGGAGATTTTAAAAGCAGATAAGGTAGTACCGTTAAAAAAAGCAAATTCATTGAATGCAGCAGAATTTGAAAGTACTAATTAAGAGACTCTGTTACTTTGACCATTCAGATGTGGCCTAGTTAATACAAACCAATTAGTTGCCATTGGCTATCTATTGATCACTATTATTATTTTATTTTATTTCAGGTACTTATATAGCGCCGTCAATTTACGCAGCACTTTACATATATATTGTACGTTCACATCAGTCCCTAACCCTCAAGGGGTGTACAATCTAAGGTCCCTCACTCAAATTCATACATACACATACTAGGGCCAATTTAGACAGGGTCCATTTAACCTACCATCATGTTTTTGGAGTGTGGAAGGAAACCGGAGTACCCGGAGGAAACCCACACAGGCACAGTTAGAACATGCAAACTCCAGGCAGGTGGTGCTGTGGTTGGGATTTGAACCGACGACCCTAGTACTGCCAGGCGGAAGTGCTAACCATTTAGCCACTGTGCTGCCCCTAGTTCCTTTTTTCACTTTTGTATATTTTTTTTCTGTCCTTTTAGGCTCCATGAACACTAGCATTTTTTTAAGCTCAAAAAATTGTGGAAAAAACGCTGGTAAGTGTTTTTTTTTTATTATCGTTCAGATGCGTTTAGGAGCATTTGTGTTTTATTAGCTTTTTTACACTACATGTAGAGGAATTTTTTTTTTAAAAATTAGAAAAAGCTGTTAGGAGCATTTTAGTAGCATTTAGGAGCGTTTAGCATTTTTTCTGCTGGAAAAATGCTCCAAAATACTCTACAAAAACATTTTTTTTTCTGCTCCTACACGCTGAAGATAAAAAAATACTAAAAGCCAAAAGCAGTGTGCAAGGACACATAGGATAACACTATTTAGCTTCTGAGAGCAGGAAAAAAAATGCTTCTAGGAACTTAAAAACAGTAGTGTGCATGGAGCCTTAGCGTTTACTTCATTATCCAATGGTTTCTTTTATCAGCTTCTTGTATAGAGGGCAATTTAGTGGTTAGAAAAACCAAACCGTTTTTCTGCTAATTGTAGCATGTGAATTTCGCTTATTATTGAGGCCTTAAAATTCTAAGCATTCCTGAAAATTAATTCATTAGAAATGCATCATATGACCTGTTTTGTAAATGTAATTTCTTTTCTCAGGTTTTTTTTTTTTTTTGTCCTTCCCATTCCACCAGTACAGTACAGAATTCTTGAGAAGAATAGAAAGCTTTTGCTGTGAACTTTGTCCTTGTTTTACATCCAGTCACTAGAGAAACTGGTGTTATTTGGCTGATGCTCAGTGATTTTGCCAATGAGGTTCCAAAAAAAAAAAGGCACTGTAAAAATAAGCACTAGAGGAGTTTATGGAGGAAAAAAAAGTTTTTCCTTCAGTATCCCTATGTGTCATGTTTTCTTTTTTACAGAAGGATTGTAGCTGTTAGTCTCAGGAGAAGTGTTTGGAGTTCCATGTCTAATCTTTGCTAAACCTTAGCCTTAACAGTCTCATTTACATTACCCAGTCTGATGTGAATGATCCATTGTTCAGTGTAATGCATTGTGGTCTGCGTTGGCACTATAATAATGAATTTTGACGATATCTATTATTTTCTTCAGGTGTGCTTGAAACAAGAATTATGAGTAACCCTTTCCATCAGCTAGTAGAGCCACTTGATCCTGATGAACCAGACAAGAAGTTTTTCAATCTCCACAAGTTAAACGATGAAAGATATGGTAAGAACGTTTGTTGTTTTTGTTTTGTGTTTTCAGTCTCCACAAGATACATGATGCTGAAAGATCTGGTATGAAATTATTTGGAGAAAAAATTGTATGCCAAATTTAAAGCTGAAAAATGGGTAACTATTTAAAAAAAAAGTTTCAGCTGCTGTTTTTGGCTTTTTTTTTTTTTTTTTTTTCTTTGTTTCTTAACTACAGCCAGTAAACTCCCCAGCATGTTATCCTATGTGTCCATGCACACATAGGCTTTAATCAGCATTTTTTGGCTGGAAAAAAAACCCTGAACTAGTGGATTTCTAGAGGCATTTTTTAGCTGTAATAACACTCTAACGCTGGTAATTGTGGTAAAACGTGAAAAACCAGCATTTTGGGGTATTTTTGTTGGGGGGGGGTATTTGTGTAAAAAAAAAAAAAAAAAAAAAAAAAAGCTAAAAAAAAACGCAAACATAGAAAAACACAGCTAAACACTAATGCAAAAAACAGTTAAAAATTACAGGAAACTTGTGTTTTTTAATGTGACTTTATACAGCTAACGCTACTTGCATTTTTTAAAATGCCCAGTATGCATGAGGACTAAAGTCTCTTAAGTTTTCATTTTATATGTTTTTTAAATTGACACAAGGGATGGTGTATCAATGCAAAGTGTCCTTTGTGCTGCTGACTCATCTGCCCCTATAACCCGATACGAGTGCTGGACCTGTGACAGGTTGGTGGAGCACTGGCAGAAGAATAAATGGTCCACCTACCCAGGGTGAGCTGAAGGCTTTGGATTTCAGCTATCAGACCAGCCAGCACCACAAGGGATGCAGAGAAGTACCGTTCCTTGCACTGATTTAAAAAAAAAAAAAAGTTGACTAAAGTTAAGCTTTAGTCTTTGTGGGCAAACTTTTTGACTTGAGGGCCGCAATGGGTTCATATATTGGACCCGGGGGGGACCAAGAGTAGGAATGATGTGTATGTGTCATCCATAGTAAGTAAAAATTCCCCCATAGTAAGCATAAATTAATCCCCCATATAGTAATTCAAAATAAATTCATCCCCCATATAGTAATTCATCCCCCATATAGCAATTCGTCCCCCATATAGCAATTCATCCCCCATATAGCAATTCATCCCCCATATAGTAATTCATCCCCCATAGTAATTCATCTATCCCCCCCATATAGTAATTCATCCCCCATATAGTAATTCATCCCCCATAGTAATTCATCCCCCACATAGTAATTCATCCCCCACATAGTAATTCATCCCCCATATTAATTCATCCCCCATATTAATTCATCCCCCATATAGTAATTCATCCCCCCCCATATAGTAAGTCCCCCATATAGTAAGTCCCCCATATTAATTCATTCCCCATATAGTGTCCCCCATATAGTAATTCATTCCCCATATAGTAAGTCCCCCATATAGTAATTCATTCCCCATAAAGTAAGTCCCCCTAATTCTTCCCCATATTCCCCCATATAGTAATTCATTCCCCATAAAGTAAGTCCCCCATATAGTAATTCATTCCCCATAAAGTAAGTCCCCCTTAAGTAATTCATTTTATAGTTCCCCCATATAGTAATTCATTCCCCATATAGTAAGTCCCCCATATAGTAATTCATTCCCCATATAGTAAGACCCCCATATAGTAATTCATCCCCCATATAGTAAGTCCCCATATATAGTAATTCATTCCCCATATAGTAAGTCCCCCCTATAGAGTAAGTCCTCCATATAGTAATTCATTCCCCATATAGTAAGTCCCCCATATAGTAATTCATTCCCCATATAGGTAGTAATTCATTCCCCATATAGTAAGTCCCCCAGAAGTCCCCCCTGTGTCAATTCACTTACCTTTGCTCCTCCGCGCGTTCCTCTCGTATTCCCGCGCCGTTCTGGTCTTCAGGGAGGACTGTGAGAGAAGAGTTCGTCACGGAGCCTACATCCTGGCTGCCCCGCCTACATCCTGACAGCTGCAGAGTCCTGACGCCCGAGAGGAGGGAGGGGGCGGCCATCCTAGAGGGGGGGCGGCCATCCGAGAGGAGGGGAGGGGAGAGGAGGAGAGGAGGTCGCCCGCCCGCCCGAGAGGAGGGAGGGGGAGCGGGCGCCCGGCACACAGGAGAGCCGCATCTATGTAAAGAGCCGCGGCTTGCCGACCACTGGCCTTGCGGGAGCCTAGCTCCGCGGGCCGGATTAAAAGGTCCGCCGGGCCGTTAGTTTGCCCATTGCTGGTCTAGAGGTAGCCTAAGTCTGTCCAGATATCCGTTTCCTGTAATTCCATGTACAACAGCCAGGACACATATAAAGAAGCATGGTCAGCATTCTGTCATTTACTTGTCAGTCAACAGAATGAACAGTTGAAGAGTGATGAGCTGATCTGTCTGCATCCCTGTCCAGTCACTGGATGAGGGCAGATTGGTGGCCAAGCTTATATTATTTAAAGCAGAGCTTCCACTTAATAGTGGAAGCTCTGCTTGTTTGCCTCACCCCCTCCCCTTCTACACTGCCATATTTGGCACCTTTTTGGGGGGGGGAGCGGATACCTATTTTTGACACTTCTGGCTCAGTTCGCCATGGCAAAATGAGCTGGAAGTTCGCCCCCCCCCCCCCCCCCTCCTTCCTTCCGCAGTCTCCTGGGAACCTTCACAGGTTCATATGTGCAGTCGGCACGCGGCTGTGAAACCTCAAGCTGTCACAGCCTTGTGCCCACAGTTGTGATGCCGGGGAGAGAAGAAGGAGAGAATGGACAGTGCGGGTGAGCACATCTCTAGATAGAGGGACAGGTGAGTGTGTGTTTATTAAAAGTCAGCAGCTACAGTAGCTGCTGACTTTTAATAAACACAAAACTGACTGGACCTCCAATTTAAAAGCTGAACTTTAGACCATTGTTTACGACAGTAAAGCCGTTATTAGTCAATCATTGAAAGTGCAGCATGCAGACTGGATGAAGGAAAGTCTAGCAAGTCTATGGAGGCTGCAGTTATTGTATAGTGCTAGTCTAGCCTTTAGTTTATCTTGTATATTTGATACTTATATATGAAGTGAATGTAATACTGGACACTTTTTTATGCCTTTTGATATTGAAAAGATTGTTTGTATTCTCAAAGCTTTGCTAACATAAATAAAAGAATTAAGAGTTAAAAAAAGAAAAAACACTAGGAGCCATGCTGGATTTGCTGTATGTAGGGAACATACTGACAAGAGGAAAAGAGCAGAGTGAGCAAAAAGATGATCTCATCTGTGTGGTGCCAAATAATTATCCAATCAGCAACCTGAGAGCTGTGTTTTGAATTTGTATTCTTGACAAAGCTGCAGTGGGGGTTGAGGACCTGTCTGTGCTGTCTGACAGGGGTATCACAATCAAAAACTAGCTGAATGGAAATTTTTGGTCAGATATTATAACTGTGTTTAACTGTCTGTCTAAAATGGAAGCTTTAGCAATTGTATGATTAACAATTAATGGTAAATCATTACAATAAAGCTGTCCTAATGAATGTTTTTCTTTTGACTTAGACATACTTTTAGATCAGCTGGCGCAGGAATTTATTGATTGTAGTCCACATAGAGCATGTTATTGTGAGTCAGCTGCAAGTCCAGAATATCTTGTATTCTAAATACACTTGATGACGCTATTGCACGGTTTTCCTTATGAGTTGTTTCTACCCTAATATGTATATTCATGCCTTCTCAGCACGTCTGCCTTTCTCCATTCGGGTGCTTTTGGAGTCTGCTATCAGGAACTGTGATGAGTTTCTTGTAAAACCTAAAGATGTAGATAATATCCTGAACTGGAAAATCACCCAGCATGAGAATGTGGAAGTGCCATTTCGTCCAGCACGTGTCATCCTGCAGGACTTTACGTAATTACTTTATTTTACTACTGTTTTATTCTTCACTAAGTAGTATACATATCCAATGCTGACAATGTAAAAGAACTTTTGCTTCGGATTCCACTGCTGCTGCTTTTCTATCAGACCAGAAAACTTGAATGTAATAAATGAGGGTTTTCCCTAGCAACTTATGGAAAGTTTGAAATCTCCTCCTAGGAATGTTCTGTGTGAATTGATCAAAATGTGATAGAATCACCTAAATTAATTTTAAGTCCTAACATAATAACAGTCTTATTTGATAATTATCATGCACATTTTTACAGGGAGAAAGTGGCAAAGTATAGGAACCTGTGTCAAGTTTGTATTGTTTTCTGTCTCGATTAGGATGGTGTCCCCTGTTTTCTGTTCTTGTCACTGTTGCCATCAAGGCAGGAAATTATGAGGACTATTTCTGATGGGGACAGTAAGTGCTTTTTTTAGACAGGCAGCTGGGGGGGGGGCATAAAAAGGGCAGCTGGGCACCCAAACTGTCCCAATACAGCCGGACAGGGCCGGACAGATACAGTTAGCGCTTCCTACAACCCCCTTAAAACTTACTGGCACCTTATTTAATATTTGAGGTGGTCAGCAACTGAGTACACCACTAATAGCTGACTATATATAAATCCTTTTTATTTCTATAAAAGCACATGGTAGAAAAAAACAGTGTGAAAATGCCCAGTGTGCAGCTCTCCCCCACAGCCCCCCAAATACTTGCCTGTGCCCAATCTTCATCCAGCGCTGTGCACGAGAGCCTTGGCTCTCCTGGATCTCTCTTTCTCCTCATTGGCTGTGCAGTGGGAGCCATTGGCTGTCAATCACAGCCAGTGAGAACGGAGCACTGGGTATGACTGAGCCACACACTGTGTGTCCCATAGACACACAGAGCTGGCTCAAGGGCAAGCACACAGTGCCCCAAAGCAAGTAGGCTTGATTGCTCTGGGGGCAGTCAGTGAGGTGGAGTGGCCACATGCGCTGGCGGGAGACCCGAGAAGAGAAGGATCGGGACTGCTCTGCGCAAACCATTGCACAAAGCAGGTAAGTATAACATGTTTATTTTAAAGAAAAGAAAAAACCTTTAGAACCACTTTACACCATTCAAGTGCTAAATATTGGTTTTCAGAAAAATTTATTTTATCCACCTGTCACACTTGTATCCCCCCCCCCCCCCCATGGGCAAGAGCATTTTTTAAAATAATGAACATTTTTGTTTTAGTTTTATAAAATATAAGAACAAATGCAATACTTCATAATATACAGACTAGTGGAAGTAGAGCTTAAAAGAGAAGGCAAAGCACACAGAGATCTGTGAAATGATCCATTATAGTATAGCTAAATAAATGCGTTGCAGATCTGGCATTGAATGTGACGCATATATTGTATAAACTTAAGTACATACTATTATCCACATTTGGTTTTCACACATAACCAGACCAGTTTTACATTTCTGCTATGCACCTGTGGTGTGGTGTTGTGTGTTTTTTTTTTTTTTTTGGTTTTTTTGGTTTTTATTGATTGGAGAGGGATTAGAACACCTAACACCTGTCGGTTTTTTTCATTGCTGTCTGTACCCCTGTTTAAGAGATTTGTCCTCTCTATTTGTCCTGTTTACTGTTATCACCAAAAGTAAAAGAAAATCCCACATTTTTAGGTTGACATCAGAACACTAGTAGAGGGGAAATCTTCCAATGGGGACACTAGTTCTTATGACACAACGGGATTCCCTCACTTTGTGGGGATTTCCTCTTCCTATTTTGGCTGTGGCACAGGAAGTGCAGGGAAATATCCCTAATGGGATGGTCATAATCCTCCCTTACTCTATCCAAAATGGAATAAAATTTTTTGCCTTTTAGTTAAACTTTAAGGACAAACAAGGTCTTCTTTTAGTGATATTGTCTTTCAAAATTATTTTTTCCTAAACCTTAGACAAAAAAACAAGGCTAAACTAAAAATAGAACTTAACAAAACAATTAAAAACAAAGTTTAAATATTATTGGTTAATAAATAGAAATTAACAAAAAAATTATCAGGAAAATAATAGTTGAAGGGAGTTGAAGGAGAAGTTAATTACGGCTGATTATGGTATGGAAGTAAAGCCATCCATAGATGGATCGAATCTTGGCCAATTCAGCAGGGACCGGCTGAGATTCGATCCGTTTATGAGCAGGCTAGTTGTACTGAAGTCGATCCATTGATTGACCAGTACAATCAGTCTGTTGTATTTTTTCCATGTGAACACTGCCAGCAGCTATAGCTGTCAGCAGTGATTGTATTTTGCCGGCAGGGAAGGCTCCCCACCGGCAGAACACCATATCGCTGCAAGAGAGACTGTGACTGTGGGGGAATGGAGCAGTTTGGAATGGAAAGGAAAGAAAACTGCATAATCTATGGGCTGCTTAAGAGTTACTAAGAGGTTAAACAGAGGCAAATGTATTCAAAATACAAAGAGTGCAGCTCTAGTAAATGCGGAATGGTATGCCTGAGGAACACCGTAAGATCGCATCAAAAACAACACATATAAAAGTCCCCAAAGTGTTAATTGACAGTTCTCTGATGTTTGAATGAAGCTAAGAACAGGTTGGTGACTCCAATACTCTCATCCAGGCATGAACCTGGGTGCCGTGCAAAAAATTTTAAAATTGCGCACTCACCAGATGCGCAATAAGTAAGCGCTGCTCTAGGGGGCAGTGTGGTGAGCCATTCAGCGCATTGCACTGCTTCCTTTTTTTTTCTTTGTTTTGTACCAGCTTTATTTGGAGTTTACAAAACGTACACTTCATTCATTGCAATGCCCAGCAACATGGTGCACTGCACTGCCTGACATTTGCAGTACGATTTGGGTTGATGCTCTGCAATAAAATACAGCGTGTCTGCATTTTATCGCAGCACTCTTCAGCACAGTGCTAGGCTGTGTTGCAGTGTGAATGGGTCAAAAACAATTGTTTCATGTGTGTCCCTGCAGTGACACAGTTTACCATGTGGTAAAACATCTGTCACCGCATATAGTGTGAATTGGGCCTAGGTTAATCGAAGCCAGAATTGCTGGGGAGTGAGAGAATTGCTCGCAGTAGCAGGGCAGAAGAACTCGCTATGGAAGCTAGTGTTGCTATACAAAAACTGACTGGACTACCAGGTAAGGAGTGTGGAAATGAAAAAGCAAAAATTGAGTTTTTATGGATGGAAACATGGAGGGAAAAACAGTTAAAGCGGAGCTCCTCTCACACTATAAAAAAAAAAGTGTAGCTGCTGACTTTTAAAAAACAGCCACTCACCTGTCCCATGATCCCGTAGTGTCCTCCCCACAGACGGTTTCACCAGTCGTCTGTTGTTCCAGACGCAGGCATCTTCAGTGTGGGTACCTGGCTGTGAGAGCTCGCGGCTTCACAGCCGGGTGCCCATTGCACATGCATGAGTAGCGCTGCACTTCCTGAATGGCCCTGTAGTCTTCTGGGACCTGTCACGTGTCCCAGAAGACGACGGGGAGAGAGGGTAGGAGGACAACTTCCGCTTCTAGTCACCTAGGCGATTGCAGCGGAAGTGGGCGCAGGTACCTGTCAATTTTGGGTACACGCTCCCCAAAGGTGCCAATCCTTAATGGAGAGCGGGGGACCAGTCTTTTAAAGCGGAACTTCCCCTTTTGGGTGGAGCTCTGGTTTAATATACCAAACATGTTTACCTGAGATCACATTTTAAAGTAGAACTAAATGCTTGTTTAAAAAAATTATCATATTGTATTGAATTCCCCCATATACACTGTGCACAATTATTAGGCAAGTTGTTGTTGTTCAATAATGAAATTAAGCCTCAAAAAATACAACAGTGCACCTGGTCAATCCAAAATGTTAATAAGCCTCAAACCTGAATATTTAAGAAAGTAAAAGTGAGGTTTTGGCTTTCTTATGAGAATATCTATGTGTGCACAACCATTGGACAACTATTAGTGTGCAGAATTATTAAGCAACTAAATGAAAAACAAAAATGTTCCCATCTCACTTGTCTATTTTCATCTGGTAAAGTGAGAACAATAAACAAACAACTCAAAATTTACAAATAAACATTTCTGACATTTCAAAAGGATAAAAAAAAATCAGTGACCAATATGGCCACCCTTCTTTTCAATAACAGCCATAAGTCTTTCATGCATGGAGTCTGTCAGTTTCTTGATCTGTTGACGATCAACTTTTTGTACAGCAGCAACCACAGCCTCCCAGACACTGTTCTCCTTCACCGTAAGTCTCCCGTTTAAGAAGGGCCCACAAGTTCTCAATAAGGTTTAGGTCAGGTGAGAAAGGGGGCCACGTCATTTTTCTTTCATCTTTAAGGTCTTTATTGGTTAGCCACTCAGTGGAGTACTTTGGTGCTTGTGATGGAGCATTGTCCTGCATAAATGTCATGGTCTTCTTGAAAGATGCAGACTTTTTCCTGTACCACTGCTTGAAGAAAGTGTCTTCTAAAAATTGGTAGTAGGTTTGGGAGTTGATTTTGAGTCCATCTTCAACCGGAAAAGGTCCAACTCAGGTGCGGACTGACCATTTGGAAACTCTGGCACTGGCCGAAGGCCCGTGGTCAGTAGGGGGCCCCATGAGATGCCCCTGGTACATTTTTCATAGGCTTTTTTGAGTTTGGGCAAGGACACAGGGGCCATATGATCCCCTATTGCCCGGGGGCCCCATGAGTTGTCAGTCCGCCCCTGGTCCAACTAGTTCATCTTTAATACCTTCCTGCCTGAGCTATAGCAGATTGATGGTTGGGTGGGACACTCCTCCTTGTGACTGGGCATCATATGACATCATGTCAAAAGGAGCCGCTCACTTGGCCGCGCAACAGCACAATCTGTCACCGGCTGTGTGACATATCACTGCACTGGCCGTTGCCAGTGTCATGTGACCACTGTGACCAATCACAGCAGATCACATGTCAATTCTATACAATTGGCTTCCTGTCATGCCATCCATTGTATACAATTGTGTTGTTAGCTGATTGGTCAAAGCAGTCACATGGTACAGACAGGGCCAATCACAGCCTATCTGTATCATGTGATGAGCTTTGCCCAATGACCGCTAATCACAACAGAAGACTGAATGAATCCGTTTCATTCAGTAATAATGATTGCAAATATCAATTAAATACATTGGTATTAGCAATCATAATGTGTAAAAAAAAAAAAAGAAATCCCGATCACTTGCCCAGAGTAGTTCAATGTTACTATGGCAACATTGTATTGCTTTGGGCACCGTGTGTTGGAAAAAAAATGGTATAAAAAATAGAAAAATTTGAAAGAAATTAAAATCAAATTATTTTTTTTATTTTCTTTTACATACTGTCACCAGTCAGTGTCCCTGATCACCGCCACACCAGTTATATAATAATGCTGTGCTGGACTGTTGGTCATATGTAAAAAAAATTCTACATTTTCCCAAAAATTGTAACAAAAAATTACAACCTCCAAAAAACTCATTATGCCTCTTAGTAAATACCGTGGACGGTCTATTTTCCAATAATGGGTAATTTGGGGTGTATTTGTACTATCCTAGCATTTTCGAGCCTTAAGAAATGAGATGGGCCATCAGTACATCAGGATTTGATCAATTGTCAAAAAAAAAAAATATATATATATATATATATATCATGGTTTGTGGACTCTATACATTTCCTACAGATTAAATAATATACACTAATATGGGGTATTTTCATAAAAGAAATGTAGCAGAGTACATTTTGACCTAAATTTATGAAGAAATGTTATTTATTTGAAAAATTTTATAACAGAAACAAACAAAAATGTGAGGGTTTCAAACGTTTCAGGGGTTTTTTGTTTAGCAAAAAATAAAAAAAATCAGTGGTGATTAAATATCACCAAAATAAAGCTCTATTTGTGTGAAAAAAAAAATGATAAAACATTTTCATGGGTACAGTGTTTAATGACCGCAAGCTGAAAATTGGCCTGGGCAGGAAGGGGGTAAAAGTGCCCGGTATTGAAGTGGTTAATAATATCAGCCCATACCAGTACCCCACCTCCATCTGTGCCTGTTGCTGATCCAACCATTGGCCCATCCATCTGGGCCATTAAGAGTCACTCTCATCTCATCAGTCCATAAAACCTTTGAAAAGTCTGTCTTCAGAAATTTCTTGGCCCAATCTTGATGTTTCAACTTATGTGTCTTGTTCAGTGGTGGTCTGGTTTCAGCCTTCATCACTTTGACCATGTCTCTGAGCAGTGAACACCTTGTACTTCTGGGCACTCCAGGTAGGTTGCAGTTCTGGAATATGGCAGCACTGGAGGATAATGGATTTGTGGTAGCTTCATGTTTGATTCTTCTCAAGTATTTGCGTTTTTTTTTTTTTTCTTTCTTAATACGTTTCTTGCGACCCTGTTGATTATTTGCAACAAAACGTTTGATGGTTCTGTGATCACGCCCCAGTATCTTAGCAATTTCAAGGGTGCTACATCCCTCTGAAAGACATTTTACAATTTTTGACTTTTCAGTCAGTTAAATCTCTTTTTTGGAAATGATTCTGCCTAATAATTATGCACACCTTGATATAGGGTGTTGATCTCCTTTGGCCACACCCTCCTTTACACAAATACGCATCACCTGATATGCTTAAATCCAATAAGCATTCAAGTTTATACAGATTGGAATTGGAAAAATATGTATAAAATATGTATAAAATGATGATTTGGTCAAAATACTCACCTAATAATTGTACACTCAACAAAATTTTCAATAATTCATTTCCAAATCATAATATTTTAATTCCTTAAATCCTATGTACGTGTTAAAACTTTTTTCCATTTTTATGAGAAGCAGGCGATGCAAAAAAAAAAAAACATACTAGACAAATGAGGATGTCATGCTGTTCAGATGTGCATTGGCACGCCAAATTGAAGTTTGGAGCAGGAGTAGGCATCCCCAGATGAAAACCATGCTTATGTTAAAGGCCTGGTGTCACCAGGTTAGAGGAAACATGGATGAGATTTATTATTGAGTTAGTAATTGAGCTGAGTATAGAACTTCTATTGAAAGGACAGGGAAGAACAGCGCTGCATAAAAAAAAAAAACTTTTCATACTTTAAAGGGTCTATCTATACAAACAGTTAGTTGGGTGAACCTGAGACTTTGCTCAACCATAACTAATTTTGACCATATTTTGTCTAAAATGTTTATTTCTTATGATCGTCCACTCCATCTAGTGGTCATATTGTCTAGCAATTTTTTTTATAAATCGACTCCTAAGTTTTAAGAGGGTGCTCTTATATCGTAATAATGACCAACTTTCTGGTTGACAACTATAGTTTGGTACCTCCAAACATAAGTGGCCTAACTAATAGTGAATTCTGATAAGGATTGGACAGGAGTCAGCCACACAGAAGCTGGTCACTGACATACCAGGATGTTACCAAATACAGTAGAGAGCTTTGTGGTCTGTCTACAAAGCCCTGTTCCTCGTTACTTTTTGTTCTGTGTACTAGACTTTTACATTGGGCCTCTGTTGTGTGTTACAGTTGCATTTAAGTTCCTGTAACCTAATTTATTTTCGTTATCTCTGCTCTTATTTAGAGGTGTGCCTGCAGTGGTGGATTTTGCAGCCATGCGGGATGCAGTAAAGCGATTGGGAGGTGACCCCAAGAAAATCAACCCTGTTTGTCCTGCAGATCTTGTGATCGATCACTCTATTCAAGTTGATTTCAACAGGAGGTGAGACTGTTCCAAAATTTATCTCCTTTTTCCCTTTTGCATGATATTTTTGCATGCATCAATTTTATGTTTTTTTTCATTCTTTCTTTTTGTATAAAGTCAAGAATGCACATTAAATAACTGAGGAATTGATGCATGAAAACATCTCCCAGCTCTTTTCCGACCACCTTTTTGAAGCTGTCACCTATACTTGTTGGATCTACTTTAGCTCTGAGCTGTACGCCATGTGGTTGTTCCAGCTTTTACAAAACCTATTTGCCTGCTGCTAAGCTACTCTTATAATCTGGGTCCTGCATAAAAAAAATAAGCTGAACTGAATTTTTAGTTAAATATGCATTTTTTCATTCCCCTTTTTTTTATTTATTTAAAGGGTTGTAACCATACTTGGGTTGTTACTGCTTTTTCTCATTAGGAGAGATTTTCTCCCACCTCCAGTACTGATGATACAGCAGGGAAATAGGAGGAAATCACTTTTGTTAACTGTGGCCATTTGGAATACTTGTTTGCTACTCATGTTCAATGTATTTAACCACTTGCCGACCTCAGATAGCCGAATGATGGCTTCACTGAGATCGGCCTGTTCTGGGAGCACGTCATATGACGTCCTCCCAAAAACGCGCTCTCCTGCATGCCCGCGGCGATCTCCATGATCCACGTGGTATGGTAAAAGGCCAATCACAGCGCCTTTAACCACGTGATCAGTCGTGTCCAATGACACACTGATCACCGGGAAATGCAATTGCCGGTTATCGGCTGCACTTTCCTAATGCTGTCACAGCGTGAGGAAAGTACTGCCAAGAACCAGCAGTTGTCAGAGGAGGGATCGGCACCGATCATCAGGGCACTGATGATCCGTGCCCTGATGATTGGTGCCCAGCAGTGCCACCCACCAGTGCTGCCCACAAGTGCCCAGCAGTGCCACCCACAAGTGTCCAGCAGTGCCACCCACCTGTGCCCACCAGTTTCCAGCAGTGCAGCCCAGCAGTGCCGCCAGTCAGTGCCCACCAGTGCCGCCAGTCAGTGCCCAGCAGTGCAGCCTCAGCAACGCACATCTGTGAAGGAGAAAAATTACCTGTTTGCAAAATTTTATAATAGAAACAAAGAAAAACTTCTTTTTTTTTTCAAATTTTTTGCTCTTTTTTTTGTTTATAGCTTAAAAAATAAAACACCCAGCAGCGAGTAAATACCACCAAAAGAAAGCTCTGTTTGTGTGAAAAAAATGATAAAATTTAATATGGGTACAATGTTGCATGACCGCGCAATTGTCATTCAAAGTGTGACAGCGCTGAAAGGAAGGGGGTATAAGTGTCCGGTAGGCAAGTGGTTAAATATATGTAAACTTACACAAAAAGGGTCATGGATACACTTAACTCCCTTGTTCTTGCTGCTTTGTGACTGAATCATTTAAGGTTACAGGAAAAATGCAAAGAACTACGTTTAAAGGGTAAGTTCACTTTTTGTAACATATTACATGTTGCACCCATTTTCAGGGTGTAATGTGTAACATGTTACTGTAACACCAGCCCCCGGACCCTCCCTGTCCCCCGTTGTGACAGCTATCAGGGGGATCTGGGGATCTTCTCCCTCCGCTAGCTGTCACAATTTAAAAAAAAAATGTGACTGAGCAGAGCTCCGCTCACCCGGCATCATTCATTCACGGAGTTCTGTGAATGGGAAACTTTGCGGCTGTCGGCTTGTAGCTTTCAAATAACTACCACGGTGTTATTGAGTGCTGTGGTAGTTCATTGATTCTTCCTGTCAGTGTAATTTATTTATTTTGTTAAGGTGAGCTTATCCTTTAAAACATATATCTGTAAGCACAGAGGTGTAAACAAGCCACGTAATAACTAGCTTTTTTAGCAACATGGAGGCATTAACAAAGCCTCCAAAGAGCAACTACAAAGTGTGCTAACCCATAGCAACTTTAATTTTTTTTTTCATAGTCCTGATAACTCTGTACTAAAGAACAATTACATTTGACACCTCACATTAAAACCCTTGAATCTACCTTACTTAAACAATTCTGTGTTTCTTATTTTTCATAGCTCAGTTTTCATACTTCAAAACTTCTATTCTATTTATTTTTTTATACAGACCCCATTATTTTTAAGCCAAGTAATATTCACTTTCAGTAGATTCACCAAGCATTTGCTACAAGAAAAAAAAAAAAAAATCTCTTTGTCTGCACACCTCCTTCTTCTTATCCCCTGTTTTTCAGGGACGACAGTTTACAAAAGAATCAGGAATTGGAATTTGAAAGGAACAGAGAGCGATTTGAGTTTTTAAAGGTGAGTTCCCCAATGAGCAGATAGTGAAGCATTATAGATCCTAGCTCCTGCATCTCCTTAGTATTTAAGGAGAATACTAAAAAAATTTATTTTTACCTTTTCTTTAGTGTTTAAAGAAGGGGTAGGAATACTACTGGGTAACCGTGTTCACGCAACCATGTTTGGCTTGCCTAGTTTACATATATTGACTTTTTTTCATAAAAAGAACTAGCATAGGAAAGGTCTTTGTGGCTAAGCCCTAAGTCTTTCTGTATCGTATAAAGCACAAGCATATATAAGTGATGGTCCTGTGGCTCTTTTCTTTAAATTGAATAACTAAGAGCTGGCAAGGAATGTTGTTAGGACTAATATTGGTCATAGACGTCCTGAATTTCAGCCAATTTTGGACAAAGTTTGAACCATGGGTGGCCTTACTCGCAACACCTTGCCCATCACACTTTAACTTGAAAACAAAGGCGCTGGGTGGAAATTTCTCCCCTGAGAAGTAATTGCATTCTATCCAATGCAGGCACTGTTCAGGTATTTGAATACCTGTGGAACATGCAGCTGTCAGAATACAGTAGCTGGCAGAGGAGATATCTCCTTGTGTGTAAGTTAAGGTGGCATTAAAAAAATATTGGCAATGCACATAAAGAGAGTATTGCTGTAAAGCATGCATACCTCTGAAATGCTTCTATGTGAGACCACTTCTTGCCAATATACAACTTTCCATCTTGGGTGTTTGATGGGATACTGGAGTATGGAATATTTCTGGCAGTGTCCGCTACCTTGTTACAGCATGTGGATGGGTGCAGAATATCCAAAATATTCTACATTATGTATGCTGTTCTCTCATTCTTTGTGTGATGGGTGGTGTTTGGCACAAATGAGCAACACTTCCTTTGCAAGGACAAATGTTATATTCCTATACACAATTAGTTCACCAGTTCCCCATTTAAAAAGCGCATATTGCTTTACTTGAGTTGTGAGCCTTGTTTAATTACCAACACTTCAATTGCAGTGGGGTTCCCAGGCCTTTCAGAATATGAGGATCATCCCTCCTGGCTCTGGTATTATTCACCAAGTCAATCTTGAGTATCTAGCCAGAGTAGTCTTCCACCAAGATGGCTTATACTACCCTGACAGTCTTGTCGGAACGGACTCTCATACCACAATGATCGATGGGCTTGGAGTTCTTGGTTGGGGTGAGTTAAGATGTTTCTTTTACAAATAATGCTTTACGTACAATATAATGTGTTTTCCAAATTAAGCAATGACCATAGGATTGTTAAAATGTATAGCCAGTAAAAAACATTTTTTTGTTGTTTCAAATAGTGGAGAAGGATTAGAACCAGTACCAGGTTTTAATGTTATCCATTGCAATGTTAGAAAGATTTCTCTTTGCTTCCTGTCCTGCTGAAAACAGTTTTACTGGATAGGAAGTGAGCGAAAATTTCCAAATGCAACACAGACAGAAATAATTTTTTTTTTTTTTGGTGGGGGGGGGGGAAATGATTCTGTCTGTGTCCCTGTTACAGATTTTTTCCTTGCTCCCTGTCTAGTGAAACCATTATCAACCTGACTGGAAGTAAGGGAAAATCTTTTTAAAGGATCCCTAGATCACGTTAAAAAGCCAGCAGGAGTTCTATTTTTTCCCCCCCACTATATCCAAAACTAGGAAAAAATGTGGAACTATGCTTTAATAATATACAGGGGTTAGACAAGAAAAATGAAAATGCTACATGATTTGCAGGTGTGAAAGTGACGACATGATTCAGGTTGAAAGTGGAAGTGATGTAACATTCTTTTGCTTCCACTGTGTGATGGGACACCTAACTAACAGATGGGAATCCTCACTTTTGTCATTCACTACATGCGGCGTTAGTAATACGGAGTCATGTCCGAGCTTATCGAGCTTCAATGAGGGCAAATTGTTGGTGCCCATTTAGCTGGTGCCTCTTTTGGGGAAAACATTGTCTGAAAAGCATAAGCGCGTTTTTCATGATCAACTGTAGGAATCTGGATAGGAAGTGAGCGAAAATTTCCAAATGCAACACAGACAGAAAAATAATTTTTTTTTTTTTTGGTGGGGGGGAGGGGAAATGATTCTGTCTGTGTCCCTGTTACAGATTTTTTCCTTGCTCCCTGTCTAGTGAAACCATTATCAACCTGACTGGAAGTAAGGGAAAATCTTTTTAAAGGATCCCTAGATCACGTTAAAAAGCCAGCAGGAGTTCTATTTTTTCCCCCCCACTATATCCAAAACTAGGAAAAAATGTGGAACTATGCTTTAATAATATACAGGGGTTAGACAAGAAAAATGAAAATGCTACATGATTTGCAGGTGTGAAAGTGACGACATGATTCAGGTTGAAAGTGGAAGTGATGTAACATTCTTTTGCTTCCACTGTGTGATGGGACACCTAACTAACAGATGGGAATCCTCACTTTTGTCATTCACTACATGCGGCGTTAGTAATACGGAGTCATGTCCGAGCTTATCGAGCTTCAATGAGGGCAAATTGTTGGTGCCCATTTAGCTGGTGCCTCTTTTGGGGAAAACATTGTCTGAAAAGCATAAGCGCGTTTTTCATGATCAACTGTAGGAATCTGTATTACTAGCAGCGCATGCAGTGAATGATGAAAGTGAGGCTTCCCACCTGTTCGCTCGATGTCCCATCACACCGCGGAAGCAAAAGAATGTTACATCCTTTCAGCTTTCAACTCGAAACATGTTGTAACTTTCACACCTGCAAATCATGTAGTGTTTCCATTTTTTTGGCTAACCCCTGTAGTTGACTGTGCAGATCCAGGCGAGTGTAGCTTATATTGTAGAGAATGTTGTTTGAGAGTCAGAAGGTATGATGTTTATTTTTTTTTACTAATTGTTGTATGTTCTTTGTCAATTGTATACTCAGGTGTTGGAGGCATTGAAGCTGAAGCAGTCATGCTTGGCCAGCCAATAAGCATGGTGCTTCCTGAAGTAATTGGCTACAAATTGCTTGGAAACCCTCACCATTTGGTGACCTCCACAGACATTGTACTCACTGTAACTAAGGTAGTTTTTTAGGAATTTGCTCCCTTTTTTATTTTATTTTTCCTTTCATTATTTGAAGAGTGATGATTACATCACTTTGATTACATCACCTCAGTTAGGGGCCATGACTGAGACAACCATCATACCCCACCCTCACATTGTTTGCTTGTGTTGTGCAGCCTGTTGCTGTATGTCAGATGCCTTAGGAGACAGAAATTGAAAAATGTTTTGTGACATCATTAGATTGGAAAAAAAATCAGTGTTTGAAAATATTGATTTCTGCTATGTTATAGCAGTTTGAATTCAAGAACATTCTGAAACATTTACTCATTTATATTGTTAACACTTCTTTTTGGATAAACCAGTTTATGACATATTGTAATTTTGTGTGCTATCTTTGCCTTGTAAAAATATTATGAACTAAAAATGTCACTTACTCAGGCTTTGAAGACATGTCCTCCCAAACTTTATAATATCTGTTATGGGTGCCTTTTGGTGCGTTGGATCATGCTCTTAGTACTTTTCAGAGTCTCTGGAAGGAACATTCTCTTGGTTCTGTTCAAGTTCCATGGAGTCTTATTGCAACTGCAGCACAAGTTTCAATTCTTCTGCTGTGTTCTCCATAAAGTAAAATGAATTTGAAACCTAGAGAGTGACATCTCTATAATCTCTGTAATGATTGTCGAGGGTAGTTTGAAATTAGGTTGTTGAGTTAATGTGAGATATATGAAATACATCTATCTGTATGCTTTTGTTGTATTCATTTTGCTGTGAAACAGTCAGTACTGAGCTTTTCTGTCTTGTGACAGTTGTGCCTTTCTGTCTTGTGTGTTGTGACAGTATTGACTCACCATGATAAAGTATAAAAATGTCCTCCTGCGCTTTTATGGTAAATGCTAAACTCAACTAAAAAGCAGCCAGCATCTAACCTATACCAAATAGGGACTATCGGACAAATAAATATAAAAGTGATACAGCGCTAAAACTAATAATAAACACTAGAGAGGTATTAAAAATGATTTTTACATAAAATAAAGTCCTATAAATGGACCTAACAAACGGGGCAACAAATGACCCTAATCCACATGGGGATATATATAGTGAATCGTGACCCCTAGTACCCAAAGGGTACCCAGTGAAGACCAAGTGAATACCTACAGAGGAAGCCAAACAGATAACAAACGCTTTGTGCAAAACAATTAACGTGTCCACAGTCCATATAAAAATGCTGTAATTTCCAAGACGTGCAGGTGAGTAACAGCACACCTTCAAACGTGATCCCAAGCAGTATGGCTGCAATGGCCTCTCACCTCCACTTCACGACCCCACAGGGCCACAAAGCAAATGTAGATCACCTCTGGATCCCTCAGACTGGTGGCTCCTCAGGTAGGATGGTGCAGGCAGTCAGCAAATAAGCAATACTCGACCGGACCAATTAGCAGGTGAAGATATACTCTCATCAAGTACAAAGCTCATATGCCCGTAAACCAAGAAGAGAACACAATCTTCATAGTGTAATACTGCTTTTTAATGGCCAAATAGAAATAAGCCAAAAAAGGATATACACTCACATTACAGTTGCTTGTATCCAGGTCATAACAATAACCATAATCCAGGTTATGACCTGGATACAAGCAACTGTAATGTGAGTGTATATCCTTTTTTGGCTTATTTCTATTTGGCCATTAAAAAGCAGTATTACACTATGAAGATTGTGTTCTCTTCTTGGTTTACGGGCATATGAGCTTTGTACTTGATGAGAGTATATCTTCACCTGCTAATTGGTCCGGTCGAGTATTGCTTATTTGCTGACTGCCTGCACCATCCTACCTGAGGAGCCACCAGTCTGAGGGATCCAGAGGTGATCTACATTTGCTTTGTGGCCCTGTGGGGTCGTGAAGTGGAGGTGAGAGGCCATTGCAGCCATACTGCTTGGGATCACGTTTGAAGGTGTGCTGTTACTCACCTGCACGTCTTGGAAATTACAGCATTTTTATATGGACTGTGGACACGTTAATTGTTTTGCACAAACCGTTTGTTATCTGTTTGGCTTCCTCTGTAGGTATTCACTGAGTCTTCACTGGGTACCCTTTGGGTACTAGGGGTCACGATTCACTATATATATCCCCATGTGGATTAGGGTCATTTGTTGCCCCGTTTGTTCGGTCCATTTATAGGACTTTATTTTATGTAAAAATCATTTTTAATACCTCTCTAGTGTTTATTATTAGTTTTAGCGCTGTATCACTTTTATATTGACTCACCATGAATTGTGTTGTAAATATGTATATATGTCATATAAGAAAATGTTGCTCTAATTCTTTACAGCATCTTCGTCAAGTTGGTGTTGTGGGAAAGTTTGTGGAATTTTTTGGCCCAGGTGTTGCTCAGCTTTCTATTGCTGACAGAGCCACTATTGCCAACATGTGCCCAGAATATGGAGCCACAGCTGCATTTTTTCCTGTGGATCTGATCAGCATACAGTATCTACAACAAACAGGTATGAGTATATCACTTTTTTGCTCACAAATCACTCTTCTGCCTTCAGGTCATTGTGCATGTAGTAGAATCTAGAACACCTATGTGTATGGCTACCTTGTTTGATATTTACATTGTAGCATGACTGTAATGTCAAATTTCAGTAAAGTTTCAGTATATATTCGCCCTATGATTTATAAAACTCCCTCTCTAATCCCAAAGCAGCTTCTGCTTTGCCCTCTTTCTTGCAAGATGCACGTGAATGCCATTCTGAATGGCACCCCCATGTATCTCATCCCGCAGTGCGATCAATGCGGGATGAGATCACTGCACAGACATCGCATGGTCAAATAGATGTGAAATGCTAGCACAGCAGCCCATTCAAATGAATGGGCTGCCTTGCCAGGGCGGACTGACAACTCATGGAGCCCCTTTGTCCTTATCCAAACTCAAAAAAAGCCTATGAAAAAGGTACCAGGGGCATCTCATGGGGCCCCCTACTGACCCCGGGCCCTCGGGCAGTGCCTGAGTTTCCAAATGGTCAGTCCGCCCCTGTGCCTTGCCCGAGGTCAACTGCAGGTTAAATGCACCTGTTCATTAATTGTCATGATATCAGCCTTGTAAACTGATGTCAAACTAATGCCAATGACACAAGCACAAAGTATGTTGATACAGGCCCTTGAGGTGCAGGCTGTGGTTGTCATTCTTTTTGTTTTCAGCACTACTTCGTAAGTTTTTCATCTGGAACAAGCATATTCTCCATGCTTGTCCTAGGTCAGTGACAGACAAAGTAGTCACTGGCCTAGAACAGCGCATGCACCGGTGCTCTACACGGGTAAATATCTCCTAAATGGTACACGTTTAGGGGATATTTACAGTACCTACAGGTAAGCCTTGTTCTAGTCTTACCTGTAGGTACCAGTGTAAAAACAGACTTTACTACCACTTTAAAGCAGAACTAAACTCTCTCTCAATCAACAGGAAAGTGATATTACAGCTTCACGTTTTTTTTTTTATATAAACAACAACCATGTTATCCTTACCTGCTCTGTGCAATGGTTTTGCACAGAGCAGCCCCGATCCTCATCTCCACGGGTCCCCCACCGGCGCTGTCTGTTAGTGCCCCCAGAGCAAGCCTTCATGCTTGTTATCAGCATTCAGTTCAAAGGCTCTCTGATGATATGGGGGTGCATTAGTGTGTATAGACAGATTGCACATCTGGAAAGGCACCATCACTGAAAGATATGTCCAGGTTTTAGAACAGCATATGCTCTGGTAAGAATTGGAACACATTTCAAAACCCAGCAACTGGTTCCTTCAATTCCTAGTTATTTACAGAGTGTTAAAAGAGAAGTATGAGATTTCTTTTTTTTTTTTTTTTTTTTTTTTTTAAATCATACTTGCCTAGGTGGATGCAGCATCAGTCCCCCACCAACTCCCAAGGGTGAGAACGCAGAGATCACATGACTGCTGATCTCTGAGTACTCACAACTGCTCTGAGCAGAGAGCGGTGACTATCAGTCTCCGACTCTCTGCTCTGCCCCCACCGCGGTCACTGGAGCGTTGGGCTGTGGAGGGGGAGGGAGCAGCTGGCTCAAGCTTTCAGCAGATCACTGAGAGGCTAAGCCAGGTGCCGCTCCAGACTCTGGGGTGGATCCTGACTTTAAAGTCAGGATCTTTCCCCAGCCTGGACTGGCTGAGTGACGTCAGCAGACAGCAGGCTTCAGTCTGTTGTGAGCTGAAATTGGGTCACAGGAGTGCAGAATGAACTACACTGTGATCACCAGAAGAACTACAGCCAAAAGAGCTCTGTGGTAACTTTTTTTGGAATTGGAGTTGTACCTTGACAGCTTTTTGTTGCCCTGTCACAACTTTGCGATGTGTTGCTGTCATTGGTTTCAAAATTACCTCATTTTTTTCTTAAAATGGTATATTTTCTCATTTTAAAAATTTGATTTCAGTTGTGAATAAAATGTTTTTATGAGATTTACAAATAATTTCATTCTGTTTTTATATAGATTTTACACAGTGATCCAACCATTTTGGAATTGGGGTTGTAGGCTATATATTGTATGTACTTCACTTCTAAAACAGTTTAATTAAAAAGCAGAATATTTAGGATTACTTATTGATTTTGACCAACCCAGCTGTAAAATGATCAGAGTAGGCAAGATTGTATACACGGAAACACAAAGTCGTGTTTTGACATGTTCATATCTGGCACTGATAAGCAGTTCTATATTTTCAAATTGTGTGGTTTGTTTTTTTTTTAATTATTATTTTCCCCATTGATGGTAGTATCGTGAGCATTGCCAAATGATTTTCTGTTTTTCAAAAGCAGTTTTGAATGATTTTTTTTAGTATAGTGTATGGCTAGCATTAGATTCACCGTAAGATGCAGTGTTTAGTGGAGTTCTTTAAAGTGGCTTTCCAGTTAAGAATCACAATTTGCCCTAGCATAGTACAGTATATGTAGCAATAAAAACTTTTATAGTATGCTTTATCTGAATTGCTGATTGTCTAGATTGAAAACCTCAGTCTAAGCTAGACAATCCGCAATCTCTTAAACGTTACCAAAAACGGTGTGCCTGTGCAGCCTGATGTGGCTGTTCATAGGCACTTCCTTAAACTGTGGTCGGTATCTGTATATTAAATTCAGAACAGCTCCGATTAGCCCCACCCCTTCCCGCTAGGCCATCGGCATCGCCAGCAATGTGCTTTAGTGCTTCCTCTCATCCCAGCCTCCTATCCCCAGAAATGATGATACTGGGAGGCAGTGGATACGCCCAACAGCCACCCTGCATAACTAAAGGGAAGGGCTTTCCAGTCATGTGACAGGAAGTATTTTTAATAGAAATAAGGTAGAAAAAGACACATTTTTACAATTCGAACTGTAAGGATTTAATATTATTGTGGTATCTGATTGTGGGGAGGTGAATGAAAGAAAGTCTTCCCTACCACTTTAAGGTGACTCTTAACATCTTAACAAAGCCGAATATCAGAACCAAGTATGTTTTGTATCAGCTTCAGCCACTGATTTAATTTTTGATAAGACATTTCTAAGATAGGATGATAATACACCACATGAAATACCCCTTTGCTTGGATAATACACCCAGGCTCCCTTCACTGCTTTGTTAAAACTGCTGTGTAATCACAGTAATAAAATGTATTTACTGTGGTGAATGTATCACCTGGTAGCTTCTATAAATTTACTTTGTGACACAAGTTTGTTGTTTCCACATTTTATTGCAAATTGTAGACTTAAGGTTTACTAGGTGACTAAGCTACAATTGTGGTTTAGGGTAAAACAAGACCAACTTAACCACTTTGAGCCAGGACAATTTTTTTGTTTTTAGTTCTTCACACGTGTGATAAAATCAGCATTTTTTTGCTAGGAAACTACTTGGAACCCCCAAATATTATTATATATTTTCTGAAAGCAGAGATCCAGGAGAATAAAATGGTGTTTGTTGAATTTTTTTATGTTGTGCGATATTTGCACAGTTGTTTTTCAAACACATATTTTCAGAACATAATAGACTAAAATGAATTTTATTGCACACAAACACAATATAATACCTTTTTTTTTTTTTTTTTTGGTAAATTATAAAAAAAAAATGAGGTTGCATTGAGTAAATAGATACCATACATGTCAAGAGTCAAAATTGCTTGCACCTGTGAAATGGCCAAGACTACTTTGCCTAAAATGTTTAATAGTAAACACTTTGAAATTCTATCAGTTTAGAGTTTATCGTGAATGATGGCCCTAGAATTATTGTTCTCATTTCACCGTTTGTGACGATACCTTACATGTTTGGTGCAATCCCTGTTTGTATCAACATGCAAGACCAACGCATGTATTTGCGTGTATGTGCGGGGTGACAGTTCTTTTAATATTTTTTTTTTTTATTATATTATATTTTACACTTTTTAAAATTAGCCTCCTTGTGATAGCAATAAAGTTATTAAAATTTTAAAAAGACATCAGACTATCAGCCCCCAATGACTCTCCTTCCCTCCACTGAAGCTAATTAAGCACAGGTCATGCTTGATTAGCTTCTTCCCCAGCTTCAGTAGTCAGGGATTGACAGCTTTGAAATAGCAAGTGACTAGCTTCCAGGTTCATTCATCACAGAGGAGATCAGAGAGTAGAGCCATGATTTTTCTACCCCCTCCCTTAAGCTTCAAAGGCAGACAGATATGGTTGTACACATGCCACAGCTACAGTGTTTTGTGATATATCGCCTCCTCACCATATGTCAAACATCCCTGAAAAGTAATGCATTGCAAATCACTCTTTAGTGATGGCCTTAGGAGTAGAATTAACAATTTATTCTCTTTTTTGCAGGTCGAGAAGAAGACAAAGTGAAGTACATTCAGCAGTATTTAGAAGCTGCTGGGCTTTTCAGGGATTTCAGAAACACAGAGCAGGACCCAGATTTTACCCAGGTCAGGTTTAGAATGTGATATACGGCTATCTTTCAAACACAAAAAGTAAACATCTTATATTACTTGCATAATATGTATTCATTTAAAGATGCTGTATATTAAAGGAGCTTGTCCTGTACATTTAAGCTGGCCTTCTACCTGCAGAATTTCATTCAAAAGATTTAGTTTTCAGAATGTTTGTTCGTTTATCTAAGAGTTAAAGGGGACATTTACAATCGATCTCAACCAGAGCGAGCAAAAAAAAAAAAAATATCAAAAGAGAAGGATGGACATTTTTTTTGTTAACTCTATTGGGAATGAAGGAATTTCTAATTATTGAATTTGCTCCCAGCCAAGGAAAAAATTAACTAGTCTCATGTGCGTGCATTTATCAAAGTGAATCCCGAAGTAGAACATTTTTCAAGACATCGACATGGTACTTGAATGAAAAGTTGTTTGAAATTAGTTTGTACAGCATTACTGTGTAAAAGCCATGGGAATCTAAAGTTAAACCCACCTCTCTACCCCCTGCCCCCTGCCTGCCTATCAACTTTCTGCCAGTGCAGTGCTTGTTGGGAATTTGTAGTTTGAATGACCACAGGCATCTCATTGACTATGCATTTTTTTAAAAGCAGCTAATGCACTGAGTGCCAATTTTTAAGAATTAAAAACTGATCTTTAGAGTATTTTTTACCTAATAAGCTCAAATTTTAGCATTGATACAATTTAGGCAACGACATTACTCATTTTATTGCGTGCCTACTCCAACATTTTTTTTTTTTTCCATTAAAAATCTAGGTTAATCAGTAATCATTACAAACCGGCAAATGTAGATTTCACTAATCCATCACAACCAATTAGATTTCACATTACTGAAGCCATTCCAATAGAAGATGTTGTGTTTTCTGTGGGTACTGAACTGCACTCATTGTATTGTTTTTATTGAATAAGACTGATTATGTTCAGTCCTAATAAAATAATCTGCTCCATAAATCTTGTCCATGCAGGTGGTAGAATTGGACCTCAACACAGTGGTGCCATGTTGCAGTGGACCAAAGAGACCCCAGGATAAAGTATCTGTTTCTGACATGAAAACTGACTTTGAAAATTCTCTGGGAGCCAAGGTAATATAAGCTGGGTAGTACTATCAGATTATCAGAAATATGGTTGGTAATTCTTAAAGGATTAATTCACCTATAGTAAATACAGAGGTAAAAAAAAAAAAGTGTATTTATTATTTATTTATTTTTACTAGCAGCCTGGAAAGCATTGCACTCACAATCAGCAGATTGCAGATGCCATGCAGGATTCCTGCAGACTTGTCAGTGTATCTGTCTACTCGTACATCATATGGGCAGGCAGTTACACATTGGCTGAAAGATACAATGAACTACCTAGAGCACTCAACAGTGCCCTGCTAGTTCATTGAGAACTACAAACAGCCAGCCAGACAGGCTGTTAGTACTTGTAGTTTCCCATTCACAGAACTCTGTGAATGAATGACGTGGCCAGTACAGTCCTGTACTGTATATTGTTACAAGTAAATTGGAAAGCTTTTATAATTCCACAGTTGAAATGGGTATTTACTAACCATATACCGCACACCAACGGCTGCGATTACTGCTCAGCCAAAATTTCATCCTACTGTTTCTGTAATGCTTATTGTTGATAATTTATGATTTACATGTCAGTACCATTTCACTTCATATATGTTGCAGTTCTTGGCAGATTAAACCATATCTAAACCCATAAACAAAAATGTAATATTACAATTTACCAGTTCTCCGATATGGTGGATGCATACAGTTTAATTTTTCAGGCTAAGTATGTTTTTAGGAAGAAAAGAAAATACATGATGGTCTTGCCAATACATATCGGTCTTTGTCATTTCCTGTGAGCTTACAGTGGAAGTTTGGTCTAAACCTTATCTAATCTTAAACCTGCGCCTACACCCAATCCAATACTAACTACCCTGTAGAAGAAAGACGTTAATACTTATTCCCTGGGTGCTTCAGTCCGAGCACATGATTAGCTCTCAGTGGCTTCAGGAGAGAGAAGGAACAGACGACAACAGATGCCCCATAGTAAGCCTATGGGTGATGTCACTGCCTAGGCATTGCAGCTGTTGTCAGTGATCTTTCCTCTCCCCTGAAGCTGGTTGCTGGGGAGTACATGTGACTAGAATGGAGCACCCAGGGAATAGGTAAGTATACACATTTTTCTTCTACAGGCTAGTAGGTAGTACTTAGAATTGGGATGGGAGCAGGTTTAAGTTTAAATAGGTTTAGACTGGACTTACTACTATTCTCTTCAACTACAATGTAGTGGAGAGGAACGACCATGTGTGAAATCCATGGCCCCATAGATACAATGTTTAACATGAGTGTAGCTAGTAAGGAACAAAAGTGTGTTATTCACAAGATTGCCAGGCGAAATTAAAGGGAAAAAAATTCCTGACAATAATAGCTAATGCAACCACCACATCTAAGGATTGGTAAGCTGCAATATACTATCATTTTGTTTATGTGTGTAGATCTGTTTCAAGCCTATAATGGGTTGATCTTCCATTTTTATTTTCTTTGAGCATATAATACAAACTTACTTAAATTTTTTTGGAATACTGCTTCTTTATGGTTAGTTTAGAAATGAGCCTCATCTTGAGAGTAATCAGGGACATGATTTGGTAATAATTTGAAGTATTGTTCACACAATTTAAATGTGATCTGATTTAGATCAGATAATTTACATAAATATCTGTATTTTCAGATCCTTATAAAATCTTGAGGCTGTAATGGATGTAAAAAATATCATAATGCTAGTTAAGCAGATATGTTCATTGCAATTTGTTCCTCTGTTACAGCAAGGGTTTAAGGGCTTTCAAATACCTCAGGGACATCATAATGACAAAGTTAAATTCTCCTATCAAGACGCTGACTACGAGCTCAGCCACGGCTCTGTTGTCATAGCTGCTATCACTAGCTGCACAAACACCAGCAACCCTTCTGTCATGCTGGGTGCAGGTGAGTTTCATGGGTCTGTGTTCATGGGTGCTCACTGCAACCTACACTGCAGGTGAGTGTGGTGGGAGTGAAGCTGCAGTGTGGAAATGATCAAACCTGAGACTATTATTTTATGACCTATTAAAACCAAAATAAATTTTTGTTGGGGGAAAAATACAAATAATGTAGTTTTATTGCTGTAAACATTCAACAAATTATAGGATAGAATTTACTAAAACTAGAGCACACAGAATCTGGTGCAGCTGTGGATAGTAACTAATCAGCTTCCAGGTTTTATTCTCAAAGCTTAATGGAACAAGCTGAAGTTAGAAGCTGATTGGCTATCATGTGCAGCTGCACCAGATTCTGTGCTCTCCGGTTTTAGTAATATCCTCCATAGTGACATGATGTTCAGTAAATCGATTAAAAATACAGTATATGAGCTAAAGTTCAAGTTCAAATGTGAACTACTTTAAAATAATATAGTCCACATCCGTAGTGCATATATTTTCCCTTGTGCTGATCAACAAATATTCCATGATATTAAGCAAAAATCCACCACTGCTCATTCAACTATCACCTCTTGTGTGCCAGACTGTGCACTTACCTTCTTTGAATGACCTACCTACTATAGAGGTCAAAAAAACATCCTTTTCCCTCTGTTGGAGAGAAGTAGTACCATCCACACTTTTCAACTACTCTCCTCTTCAAAGGTGATATCACTCACGAAAAAATATACACATCTCCCATAGTATTTTCCATAAAAAATCAGCTTATTAAAATCATTAGAACTATATACACTAGCATGTGCATGTGTACTTCGATCCTTAGCGCCTGGAAGTAAAGCACTTTGCTTTATACACTCACTGGCCACCTTATTCAGTATACCTGTTCAATTGTTTGGTAACACAAATTGCTCATCAGCCAATTATATGGCAGCAACTCAGTGCATTTAGGCATCTTGACGTGAAGACAACTTGCTGAAGTTCAAACTGAGCATCAAAATGAGGAAGAAAGGGGATTTAAGTGACTTTGAACATGGCATGGTTATTGGTGTCAGACAGGCTGGTCTAAGTATTTCAAAAACTGCTGATCTACTGGGATTTTCACAAACAACCATCTCTAGGGTTTACAGAGAATGGTCTTGTAATGGAACCGGACCCAGACTGCACTAGGGTATTTCCGTTAGCCTCCCGCTTCCCTGTCCGAACACAGATCCACGGACACCACCGCTAGCCATACAAGACGAGACAGCACCAGACTTGTATGAAAGACAGGAAATAGACTGCTTTATTTTAACATAGATACAAGATATATACACAGGGTGGGAAAATACCCACCCAGACAGGAAACGCATCAGCAGGCCGTTCCATCAGGGGGAAGGGCTGTCGGAAACATTACATCCCATAATAGTTTGCTAGAACAATGGGATGCAGCCGCATGGCAGAGAACAATGAACAACCCCCACACCAATATTAGAACATTTCACCCTGTACCCCTAACAGGCACAGGGTGACATACACATTGTGGGGAGCTGAGACGGGTCTCCCCACCCCTCAAAAGGGGGCTGTGTTCCATGGGCCTCCCACCCAAAGTCACTCCCGTCACATATGAAAAAGAGAAAATATCCAGTGAGCAGCAGTTGTGTGGATGAAAACACCTTGTTGATGTCAGAGGTTAGAGGGGAATGGGCAGACTGGTTGCTGCGACATTCAGATGGTAGGGTCATAATTTGGTGCAAACAACATGAAAGCATGCATCCATCCTGTCTTATATCAGTGGTTCAAGCTGGTGGTGGTGCAAGGTGTACCTAATAAAGTGGCCAGTGGTGCAAGGTGTACCTAATAAAGTGGCCAGTGAGTGTATAAAAAATCCACCAGTTATCAGTATACTAAGCTCAATCCACCTTTGCTCCATAAAGAAAACCACTTTACAATCATTAAAATTACGTATACTGTAATGATCTCTTCTCAGCAGAATGCCAATCTCTTCCTGTATCTGTGTGATGACATCAGCTGACTCCAAACAAGTTTCATCATGTCATAACTTCAACAGGGGTTTTGGACTGCCTAACGAAGGGCTCGACAAATCCCAGGTGCCAGGTCTCCATCGTGACTAGAAATTGTGTCCTGGCACCTGGGTTCACACACTGCCTCCCACTGACTTCAATGCAAAATTGCGTCCCATTGTCTTTAATGCAAAATTGCGTCCCATTGACTTCAATGCAAAAACACCTTCCATTGACTTCAGTGCAAAATCTCCTGTCAATAGCAATCTTATGTACACACTTATCTCCGCATGCCACTCTATCACTTGCAAGTCTAGAAGGCACCGCTACGAACCTTTCGTAATGGCACTCAAAACACAATGCATGTGGATCACATCTGTATGAACCACCTCAATAGGAACAAATAATATCTAGCTTGTTATGCAGACCTGTTAGTTTGAAAACATATCCAGAATCATATGTGTAAACCTGGGCGTCTCCATTCACACCTGGGTGTTTTTGGATTGCTGCAGAATCACTGTGATCGCAAAACCCAGGTTCAGGTGCCATTACAGTATCTCACAGAAGTGAGTACACCCCTCACTTTTTTGTAAATATTTTATTCTATCTTTTCATGTGACAACACTGAAGAAATTTAAACTTTTAAAACATTTTAAAGCAGTGAGTGTACAGCTTGTATAACAGTGTAAATTTGCTGTCCCCTCAAAATAACTCAACACACGGCCATTAATGTCTAAACTGCTGGCAACAAAAGTGAGTACATCCCCAAGTGAAAATGTCCAAATTGGGCCCAATTAGCCATTTTCCCTCCCCGGTGTCATGTGACTCATTAGTGTTACAAGGTCTCAGGTGTGAATGGGGAGCAGGTGTGTTAAATTTGGTGTTATCGCTCTCACTGTCTCATACTGGTCACTGGAAGCTCAACATGGCACCTCATGGCAAAGAACTCTCTGAGGATCTGAAAAAAAGAATTGTTGCTCTGCATAAAGATGGCCTAGGCTATAAGAAGATTGCCAAGACCCTGAAACTGAGCTGCAGCATGGTGGCCAAGACCATACAGCGGTTTTACAGGAAAGGTTTCACTCAGAACAGGCCTCGCCATGAAGCTGAGGGTAAAGGTGATGGACTGGCCAAGCATGTCTCCAAACCTAAACCCTATTGAGCATCTGTGGGGCATCCTCAAATGGAAGGTGGAGGAGCGCAAGGTCTCTAACATCCACCAGCTGCGTGATGTCGTCATGGAGGAGTGGAAGAGGACTCCAGTGGCAACCTGTGAAGCTCTGATGAACTCCATCTATGGATAAGGATGGCCGCTCACCTCGTAGCATGGACCTATAAACGAATATAGGTCAACCAAGCAAAATGATTCCATCAAAAAGGCTCCAGATGGCAGCAAAGAGCTCATACAGGCACCTCTATAGATGACACTATAAAAAAACAAATCTCTTCCCAACTTAAACTCCACATGTAAGGAAGAAAAGGGCAGATCCCATAGTGTAATACTTTTTTATTCTCTTAAAAACATGTAGGGATTAACACACTCACTGTGTGGGATCACTATTAAATGTTATTGCAGACTCCCCCCCCAGTAGTCCAAAACCATAATAACCTTCAGCAGTCAATTTAAATCAATTTAAGTCAAATTATTTGCTTAACCCTTTAAGTATGAGTGTTTTTAGTTTGTGTATCTGTTTTTATTCCTTTTTATTTAAATTTTCTTCTTTTACTTTCATGCTTCCCTTCGAGTGTTTGTTTTCTTTTTATGTTTTTCAATTCCCCAAAATTGGAATCCCCTAGGGTCTTTATTGTGGAGTTTTGAAACGTGGCATTTTGAAAACGCAATGTTTTTTAACATAAGGTTACACGCATCAAAAATTGTATATGACTACACTTTATTGAAAGATTTAAAGCAACTGTAAAGGAAAACTGGCTTTGATTGACAGCAGTGAGGGCCAATGGCTCCCAATACCCCAGCAAGACCTGGACGTGAGGGAAAGAAGAGCTGCAGATGTGCACAGCGCTGGATGGAATGAGAGCTCAAGTATAAGGAGGGGGGGGGGTGAGGGCCAAAACCAATGCCTAAACATGTTTTACCTTATTGAAAGGAATGCATTAAGGTAAAAAAAATGTGTAGGCTTTAGAACCACTTTAAACAAGAACAATATATCCGTGACGTGTGTGTGTTTAAAAGAAAATACAGCATACTTAATAAAAGACCACTTAAACTGTTCCTGCAAATATATTTTTACTGTGCAAGTAACAGTAGCCATATCCATTATTTTTTTTCAGAACCAGAATTAAATTGTTCACAGTGGGCGAGACAGAGCAGCTTGTCTTATCTGTTTTTTGTGATTTTTATGAAACATCTACCTTTCTTTGAATCGTGCAGCAGATCTTCCCATGGTCATCTAATTTAAAGCAAACACATGCTTTGTCTTAATACCTGATCTACCAAAAGCACATATTTCGCATACTTCTCTCTGATGCCCCACTGCTGCTTTGTACACCTTGTAGGACTGAAGGAAATACATGATTCTGCTGGCTTTGAATGTGCATGTGACCTCCTTTCCTATGACCGCACTGGTGCTTGTTCATTGGTCTTAGGCTGTCACATGGGGGAAGGAGCTTACACAGGCTTCCTATCATTGCTTCCTACTGAGGTGGGGCAGAAAGAAGGCAAGTATGTGCTTCTGGACAGGGGAGCATCAATGCAAGACGTGTCCTGTATGTGCAAAAACACAGGTTTGCTTTCAGAATAAGCTATACATGACAATATATAGCATGTGTACAGAACCATTTAGTTATTTCACCTGTCATCTTTTCTATTCCTAGGATTACTAGCCAAAAAAGCTGCAGAAGCTGGCCTGACAGTGAAACCATACATCAAGACAAGCCTTTCCCCTGGCAGTGGTGTTGTTACGTACTACCTTCGAGATAGTGGTGTTATGCCTTATCTTTCCAAGCTTGGGTAAGAGTCTAGCAACCTAGCATCTTTGATAAATGGCATCTTAACCGCTTGCTGGCCACCCTATAATAGAACTACTGCTACAGGGCAGCAGAGCTGCACAGAATCGCGTGTATATATACGTGTTTGGCATTTCCAGGTAGAAGGCGCGCGCAACACCCTACCTGTGCTGCCATCGGCGGCTAGGGGTGTCAATCACCAGGACCCTGCAGGATATTCCCCATCGGCACCCGACGTTTGCCGAGTAAAGCTGACAGGAAAGAGACCGGAGTTTAAACAGCACAGGTCTCTCACCTGACATCAAGAACATGTTGCTTTGTGTGTTTTTCTGCACAGCAGAGAAATACAGAGCAACATGTCTCCGTAATAAAACAGCACACATAGTATAAAAAACACAGCACACAGTTAACCCTTTGATCGCCTAAAAATTAGCCCCTTCTTGCTCATTGTCATTAGTACAGTGTGTCAGTGCTTTTCATTGTCACTGGGAATGTCAGTGGCAGTTAGCCATTTCCCACCCAGCATCAGAATGCCCGCCGCAGTCCTGCTATAAGTCGCTGATTGCCGCCATTGCTAGTATAAAAGAAAAAAATTCCAGTATATATACCGCCATTTGTATACGCTATAACTTTCACGTAAACCAATTAATTTACACGTTTTGGGAATTTTTTTGTTTTGTTTTAGCAAAGACATGTAGCAGAATACATTATGTCCTACATTTATGCCGAAATTTGATTTTTAAAATTTTTTTATTGGATAGGTTTTATAGCAAAATGTCAAAAATATTGGGGTTTTTTTGTTTTGTTTTTTTTCAAAATTGTTGGTCTTTTTTTGTTTATAGCGCAAAAAAAAAAAAATGCAGAATGATCAAATACCACTAAACGAAATCCCTATTTGTGGGGAATAAAGGACATAAATTTCATTTATGTACAGCGTTGCATGACCGAACAATTGTCAGTTAAAGTAACACAGCGCTGTGTTGCAAAAAATGGCCTGGTCAGGAAGGGGGGTAAATCCTCTGGATGGCAAGTGGTTAAAGTAGAAGGTACCACCTATATAAATGTGTCTCTGGACCTGACGAAGGTGGTTTTGTTTTATTCGCTTAGCTGCAGTCTCCTCACACTCCTTATACAGAGGTTGCCAGTTTGTTCTGGGAGAACACTATTGTCATAGTTCTGCTTCTGAAACAATTTCCAAATTAAATGTTTTGTTTATTCAGCACATTATTTTGATTTTCCTGCTCAGATTTGATGTTGTAGGATATGGATGTATGACCTGCATTGGAAACAGTGGCCCCTTACCCGACTCTGTTGTAGAAGCCATTACTCAGGTATGGTATGATATTACCTGGATCCATACACTGTTTACTTCATATTCCTTCCATTTCTAAAGGACTTTAGATGTACTTCAAATAAATGTAATAAAAAAGTGGAGTGCATTATGGAACAATTTATGCTGCTCCAAGTTCTTCATGAAAATAGTAAGCATGCACTATGCTGGAGCATTGAAATGTCACATTCTTCTTTAAATGTCCGACATTGGCTTCACTGTTGAACAGTTTTTGAAAGTGCCTGTTGCAGGGATGTCATGATGATCCTCAGTCACTGACCTTCAGTGAGTGTGCAGGTGAGGATTCCATACTTCATTAGCTATATACCTTTTCTGTGTAAGTAATTCAGAAAACACTGAAATCAAACATCTCAAGGCAGCTGGCATTTTCAGTAGGTTGGTCAGCAATGGCAGCCCACTCAACAGATGGCGTGCTTGGCCAGGCTGTTAGTCAATCTCCAAATGCTTACCTACATAAAGGCCTAAAGCAGGATTTGACATTTGAATGTCTGCAAATGCTATATAATGATGTTTTTGTATTTGTGTCCAATTATGAAGAAATTCGAACATTTGAAAAATGAAGTTGGTTTAGGTTTGTCTGTATCAACAGTTTACATCCACGTTTATTTAGCAACTAAATGTTTTTCCTCTGTCCCCAGGGAGACTTAGTTGCTGTAGGTGTGTTATCTGGTAATAGAAATTTTGAAGGCCGCGTTCATCCAAATACTCGTGCAAATTACCTAGCTTCTCCACCTCTTGTCATTGCCTACGCCATAGCTGGGACCATCAGAATTGACTTTGAGACAGAACCACTGGGTAAGAACTGTTCTTTTGCCCATTTTTTTTATATTCCATCTAACTGCATGAGTTCAGGACTCTGTCTTGCTGTATACATCTAATTCAGCCTATGTACAAAGGTAGATAGTGTGGTGCTGGTGACCTTCAGATATCTAAATGATGCAGTCAATGTAATATATATATAAACACATACACAATACCGTTTTATTTAAACTGTTTAAAGTAAAAAATTACTTGTAGTTCTATACTGATTTTCTTTTTTTAAAGATGAAACCTGATAATATGAAATAAAAGCTTTATTTCGCATCTAATCACAAATCATTATCTCCCATTTCTATATATAAAAGCACCAGGCCAATGATATTAACATACCCTTATGTTAGTAGAAGAAATCGGATATCACCTTTAATAAAATCAGCATTTTATCCATGATGTCTGATTGTTGGCCCAGTGCACTTGCATCTGTACCGTGCTAAATTTCACACATCAGTTCTTTAATGTAAGTTGTAGACCAGTAAGGTTGTATCACCTGTTGGTGTGAGATGAAACTTAAGGTGGTTGTAATGGCTACACATTTTTTACCTTAATGTATTTCCCTGTATGAAGTTAAAAAATGTCTCAGCGTTTGTATCACCCCCTCTCCTAAATATTTACCTCACTTGGTCCAGGGCTGTGCCTATTTGTAGCAGCTTTCTCCTTTTTCTCCGTGCATTCAGAGGACAGAGGCAGCAGCAGGAGTCATTGGCTCCCACTGCTGTCAATCAAATCCTGTGAGGAGGGAGTGTAGGGTGGACAGAGCAGGTAAGTATAAACCTGTTTGATATTTTTATTAAAATACAGCAAATCCTAAAATGGCTAAATGGTATAGGAGAACATATCCAACTGGAGTCATAATCTGCTTTAATAAGAGCCATAACTATATATCACTACGGAAAATAATAAAATAAGGGCTTACAGTATGTAACAGAAGAAGTGATGACATGCCAATGCAGGTACTCCCAGTGACAAGAGAGATATACACTATATTGACTAAAGTATTGGGACACCCCTCCAAATCATTGGATTCAGGTGTTCCAATCACCTCCATCGACACAGGTGTATACAATCAAGCACCTAGGCATGCAGACTGCTTCTACAAACATTTGTGAAAGAATGGGTCGCTCTCAGGAGCTCAATGAATTCAAGCGTGGTACAGTGATAGGTTCTATGCCATTAGAACTAATTTTAAAGTGGTATTATAACAAAGTAGAAGCAACTGGGAACAACAGCAACTCAGACATGAAGTGGTAGGCCACGTAAAATGACAGAGCGGTGTCCAAGCATGCTGAAGCACACAGTGCACAGAAAGTCGCCAACTGTCTGCAGAGTCAATAGCTAAAAACCTCCAAACTTTGTGTGGCCTTCAGATTAGCACAACAGTGCATAGAGCGCTCCATGGAATGGGTTTCCATGGCCAAGCAGCTGCATCCAAGCCTTAAATCACCAAATGCAATGCAAAGCATCGGATGCAGTGGTGTAAAGTACGCCGCCACTGGCAGTGGAGACGTGTTCTCTGGAGTGACATATTATATTTCTCTGTCTGGCAATCCAATGGACGTGTCTGGATTTGGCGGTTGCCAGGAGAACGTTCGTTGCCTGACGACATTGTGCCAAGTGTAAAATTTGGTGGAGGGGGTATTATGGTGTGGGGTTGTTTTTCAGGGGTTGGGCTTGGCCCATTCCTTCCAGTGAAGGGAACTCTGAAGGTGTCAGCATACCAAGATATTTTGGACAATTTCATGCTCCCAACTTTGTGGGAACAATTTGGGGATAGCCCCTTCCTGTTCCAACATGACTGCACACCAGTGCACAAAGCAAGGTCAAAAAGATATGGATGAGCGAGTTTGGGGTGGAGGAACTTGACTGGCCTTCACAGAGTCTTCATTTCAATCCGAGACACACTCCTAAACCACATGAATAGCCTTCCCAGAAGAGTTGAAGCTGTTATAGCTGCAATGGGTGGGCCAACTCCAGTATTGAACCCTACAGACTGGGATGCCATTAAAGTTCATGTGCGTGTAAAGACTTTATACACACACACAATACTTTTGGCAATATTGTGTGTGTGTATGTATGTATGTATGTATGTATATATATATATATATATATATATACATACATACATACACATACACACTGTATATACACATACTTTCCATCCTGGCTGACTTGTAAGGCTTTGAGAATTGCTTCCATCTAGTGCATTTATCAGTCACTTTATTAGGTACACCTTGATAGTACCGGGTTGGACCCCCTTTTGCCATCAGAACTGCCTTAATTCTTCGAAGCATAGATTCAACAAGGTGTTGGAAACATTCCTCAGAGATTTTGGCTCATTTTGACAGATGGCATCACACAGCTGATGATTTATGGGCTGCACATTCATGATGTGATTCTCCCAGTACACAACATTCCAAAAGGTGCTCCATTGGATTGAGATCTGGTGACTGTGGACGCCATTGGAGTGAAGTGAATCATTGTCATGTTCAAGAAACCAGTTTGAGATGATTTGAACTTTCTGACATGGTGCATTATTCTGCTGAAAGTAGCCATCAGAAGATGGGCACACTGTAGTTATAAAGGGATGGGCATGGTCAGCAACAATACTCAGGTAAGCCATGGCATTTAAACGATACTCAATAGGTACTAAGGGGCCCAAAGTGTGCCAAGAAAATATTCCCCCAAACACCATTACACCACCACCAGCCTGAACTGTTGATACAAGGGAGGATGGATGCATGCTTTCATGTTGTTTACGCCATATTCTGACCCTGCCATCTGAAGGTCACAGCTGAATTCGAGACTCATCAGACCAGGCAACATTTTTACAATCTTCTATTGTCCAATTTTGGAGAGCCTGTGTGAATTGTAGCCTCTGTTTCTTCTGTTCTTAGCTGCCAGGAGTGGCACCCGTGGTGGTCTTCTGCTGCTGTAGCCCATCTGCTTCAGGGTTCAACGTGTTGTGCATTCAGAGATGGTATTCTGCATACCTTGATTGTAATGAGTCGTTATTGAGTTACTGTTGCTTTTCTATCATCTCGAACCAGTCTGCCCTTTCTCCTCTGACATCAACAAAGCATTTTTGTCCACACAACTGCCACTTACCAGATATTGTCTCTTTTTGGACCATTCTCTGTAAACCCTAGAAATGGTTGTTTGTGAAAATCCCAGTAGATCAGCAGTTTTTGAAATACTCAGACTAGCCCGTCTGGCACCAACAACCATGCCTCGTTTAGTCACCTAAATCCCCTTTCTTCCTCATTCTGATGCTCGTTTTTAACTTCAGCAAGTCGTCTACACCACGTCTACATGCCTAAATGCATTGAGTTGCTGCCATGTGATTGGCTGATGAGCAATTTGTGTTGCCAAGCAATTGAACAGGTGGACTTAATAAAGTGGCCGGTGACTGTATATCAGGTTTGAAGGCAAGCCAGGCATCTGAAACCGTTTTTCTGCAACCCTTACCATCATTGGCACCAGCTGCTCTAAAAATGAATAACAGCGAGTGTATTTGCTTAAGGTGACAGTTATTGTTGACAGATGTGGCTCCCAATAGGAGACTCTCCAGTGTCTGGGAGGATAAGGTTTTGAAGTTTGGTTTTCAGACCTATAGTGCTTAACATACAAAGGGTTTCCCAGTGCACATAGTCTTCTAGTGCTTCACTGAATCAAGTTCCTGACATTTCCCTAGAATAGGGTAGGGACATTTTATAGAGGACCACAAAGGCAATGAAAAAAACTGTCGCCAAGAAATCTTGAATAGCAGAGCAATTGCTATGAGTGTTCAGTCTGTTAATGTTCCTTTACTGTCTCTTGCAGGCAATAATGCTGATGGGAAACCTGTATTTCTCAAAGATATCTGGCCCACCAGAGATGAAATACAGGCTGTGGAGTGCAAATATGTTATACCAGGAATGTTCAAAGAAGTCTATGAAAAAATTGAGGTATTTTTATTCAGTTTTATGTCTTCTTTATATTTTGGCATTCAATTATCTACCATCCCTACAAAGACTCCATACTCAATACACAAAATCAAATTTAATGCATTAAAGCCTAATCTTTTTAGATGCTGAAAATAGTTTTTTTTTTATTTTGTATTTGAATAGAAATACTAGCTTATCCCATGCTTTCAAATTAAGTCCGCTTGTGAATGGAATCCAAGCTGTCCATATACAGTTAGCACTATTCAGGACTATGAAGATTTCTGAACAACAATTTACTGGTTAAAAATGGTTACAGTGGTTTGATAATAGAGACACAGAAGATTTTTATGCACGGTGTTGCATTGGACTCTATTTATTTAAAGGCTTTAATTTATGAATGACATTGGTGATATTATTTATGTTTTTTGTTGTAGTGCCTATATATTTCTTTTTTTGTTTTTCACTTGGAGTGATTGTGTATCCCTATAGGTGGGCAGCTTCACTCTATTTATGTATTTAATTGGTGGGGGCATGCGCCTTTATTTATAATTTAATTGTAATGGGTAAATATCATGGTAGAGATGGGTAAATTTAGCTTGTATTCATCTTGAACTGCACAGGTAGAAGGGGGCAGAAGTGGATAATACCCCAGTAAGTGCACTTACGCTTTAAGATGAATTACATCTTGGGGACCAATTTGATGTGGTCCTGAAGGGAATGTATAGTGGTTTTCTTCATATCATTTTTATTAGCCAGTAAAGCAGCCCATAGTACAGATGGTCCAATTAAATTGTGTTGAGCAGAGCTGGTAAGCTTCATTATTACCTAGAAAAGTCAAAAACTGGACCATTCAGAACAGCCTGGGGGCAGATGCAGGCTGCTGCAGGTATATTGTGCCCCCTCTGTGTGACTGTACTTCATACCTGTTACCATGTTGTTGATCCAACTTGCCCACATTCGTGTTGTAAACAAGAAATGTAAACACTATGGAAGTGCCAGTACTGATATATCATTATAATCTACATTTTGAATGTGGATACTTTGGGGTACATTTGTGTCTTTTTTTTTTTTTTTTTTTTCCTATGGTTGTTTAATCTGTTGCTTCTTTTATTTTAAAGGATAAGTTCACCTTTTAACAAAAAATAATAAATGCACATATTTTTTTTTTGCAAGTAAAAAAATGTGCATTTATTATTTTTTGTTTTGGGAGCCTGGACAGCTTAGCACCAGCAATTAGCAGACCACTGGTGCCATACAGGACTCCTGCATACCTGTCAGTGTATCTGTGTTCTTATACCTCATACGGCAAGCAGATGCACAATGAAAGGAAGAATCAATGAACTGCCACAGCGCTCAACAGCATCGTGGTAGTTCATTGAGAATACTGTGAATGAGTGACACGCCAGGTGGGTGGAGCCCTCTTTTTTTTTTTTTTTTTTAAATTCTGACAGCTAGCAGGGAGGAGAAGATTCCCTTGCTAGCTGTCATTACGGGGAGCAGGGAGGAGCCAGGGCCAGTCCGTTCATAACATTTTACACCCTGAATATGGGTGTAACATGTTACAAATGTGAACATATCCTTTAAAAATAATCTAGGAGTTATTTATTTTCTACATTATCTGCTATGATAATGAACATACTGTATGCCCACGTGTTTAAAAAGTTTCCCTTAAAAGTTTTAAGTTCATTGACAATTTTGAGATTTATTCTCAATGAAGCAGAAAAAATGGGTGTGCAGTCGCTATTGGCCCCACAGTCAACCAAAACAACAAATGTGCCTACGATCAAAGAACAGACTCATAGATTAATGCTAACATATTTGAATGTAAAATGCACTCGCATGTTGTAATTTTTATTTTCAGAAAGTGAATGAGAGCTGGAATAATTTGAAAGCACCAACTGATCAGTTTATATCCTTGGGATTCGAATTCAACCTACATCAAATCTCCTCCTTTCTTCGATAACTTGGTATGTGTTTATTTGTTCGATGTGATTGTAAAGATTGAATTTTTTTTTTTTTTATAAATCATAAACATATTATACTTGTGCTTTTGCACAGAGCAGCCCCAATCCTCCTCTTTTCAGGTCTCCCGCTGGCACTCCTGGCCCCTGCCCCCTCTGTGTGCCCACCATAGCAAGCTGCTTGCTATGGGGGCACTCACGCAGGCTCGCTCCCGAGCTGGCTCTGTGTGTCCATAAGACACTCAGAGTGGGGCTTGGCCCTGCCACTTGCTCCCTCCTCATTGGCTGTGATTGACAGCAGCGAGAGCCAGTGGCTTTTGCTGCTGTGTCTGAGCCAATGAGGAGGGAGAGAGCCTTCTTGCTCATTGATGTATCGAAATCACGCTCAGGTAAGTATTGGGGGGCTGAGGGGGATCCGCATGCAGAAGGTTTTTTTTTTTTCCCTTTATGCAGAGAATGCATTAAGGTAAAAAGCTTTCTGCCATTAGAACTAATTTTAAAGGTTTAGGATCTGGGACTGTCTTTCTAATCCTTCTTTTCACTTTGTGAGTGGCTAATGGTGAATAAGCATGTAGCTAGTTGAGTGTCAGATATGTAGGTCTTATTGACTAAGCACATGCATCAGTTTGTGGTCATCACTCTTCCTTTTGCATTGGATGTAACAGATGATGTCTACCTTCTATGATTGGCCCTTAACCCTCCTAGCGGTCTGATTATGTCCATATTTCTGTGCTGAAAGCGGTACTTTTTTTACATGGAAATATGTATTTTTTTTATTGTAGGCCTGTAATTTTTAGGAATAACTCACTGAAATCTGTCCGAACAAGAGTCTAGTAAACATTCTGGGTATGATAAAACTTGAAAACACAAAATCCTAAATTATAATTTAATAAATAATCATAAAAAAATAATATAATAAATTTAATTCAATAATGTAATCAAACCAAAAACACTGAAATTTGAAATATAGCGCCAAGTTCGCACATCACTGAGCAAAGTCGCAAAATCGTTTTCAGTGTCTGATGACGAATTTCCCCACGAATCATTATCACTCAATTCTTTAAGTGGTTCTGATTTACTATCGCTGTTCTCTAGCCGGTCTAAAACCGCTTTTGACCAAAAGGGATGCTTTTTGGACGCCATGGACTTTTCTAAGTTTCCAGGCAGAAAGAACAGTCAAAATGCAGGCAGGGCACAGGACAAAGCACTCGGGATAAAATGTATGTGAAATGGTTTGATACAGTTCTGTTTTACTATGTCAAATTCATTTCTAAGAAAAGGACAGTTTCTGAAAATTTTTAAATTTGCCACTGTTCCGGCTCCCGTACATCCCGACGCTCGCAGGGACCGGAACACGGAAGCCAGATGCCAGCATCGGCCGGAGGAGATGGCCGGGGACACGGCAGGGGACGCATCGCAGGAGCGAAGGACAAGGTAAACCCTGCAGGGAATCCCTGAGCAGTGCCGCATGGTAAGCCTGAGTGTAGCTCGGGGTTACCGCTTTTGATACTGAAACTTTACCCCGAGCTACACTCAGGAATACCGCCAGGGAGGTTAAGGGAGGGATAGACCACTATATAGTGGTGTGCTACACTACAAGTAACTAACTACGAGTAAGGCCTTGTTTGACTGAAACGCGTTAGTGTTGCTTGTCTTCTGGAACGTTTTTATACTGTGCATTCTAATACAGTCTCAACAATTTTTATCCTCACCTTTTTCCCAATCCTATATGATTGACTTATTGGTTCAGCGGGTGGAGACCGCAGGAGTCGCATTGTGAGATCTATACTCCTGGAATATGTTATGAGGGCTGCAGCACTCATCTTTTTGCATGTGTAGCTAGTGGAGTGTCTGGTCATCTGATTTGCCCATACTGGTTCCAAGTTAGTGGACTCACTAAGCAGTACACAAGTCAGCTATTAAGCATGCACCTTCAAATATAAGTCATCTGTAGCAGCTCCCATTGTTCTGCAATTATAGATCTTTTTAAAGCACAGAAACGAAGACTAGTGTGGTAGGTAGAGATAAGTGTTGCCAAAATATCATTTAAAGGCAACTTTATCTGGGTACTGTGATTCCTCCATGGGTTTTAAGAATCACCAATTTGTAATGAAGAATTATTTATTATATAAAACAATTACTTTTTAGGAACAGTAATTTCTGTCAGTATGGCTAGTGTTGTAATGTACTGTGCTCTAAATATTTTTTACCTACACGGCACAATTCACTAAGCTGTGATGATTATTTATCTGACAATTTTATGTTTAGCAAGGACAGTTAAAGCCAAAAAAACAGTTACATGGCTGAAAATAACGCTTTTTATAGTAAAAGTATTATAGCGGAATGAATTTAGCCTCTTCTGTTTTTCTTTAGACAATGGAACTTGTGCCTTCTAAACCCATCAATGATGCCTATGTCCTCCTAAACCTGGGTGATTCTGTAACTACTGACCACATTTTCTCCTGCCGGGAATATTGCAAGAAATAGTCCTGCCGCTCGCTATTTAACCAATCGGGGGTAAGAAAATAACATGTGTAGTGCCATGTATGAGGTATTTGACTTTACCCAAGCCTGATTTTTATCGCCTGTAAGTTGATTGAAGATCCCACAGTATACTTGTCTACATCCTTCTGTTCTGCAGCTCACTTTGTCTGTGCTAATGTTTCAGACCTGATCTTTTTTAAAGCTTTCAATACCCAGACTAAAGGGATTGAACTCAAAAGGTCATAGAATGGAACCCAAGTATGCTGGTACATGTAATAGAAATTGATGACACATCATCAAAAATCCTGATCCACGTACATGTTCTATGTCAATAACTTAATAAGTATCGAAGTCACTGGATCAGCATGACAGCTAGGTAATTAAACATTTCAGGACTGGCCAACAGTAGCAGTCTTTATACTACAGTGTTTCCCCATCAACTTTCAAAATATTTAAATCAACCCTGTCATAAAAAAAAAACATCCTACACCTGTAAAATAAGTGAGGGAATACTTACCTTTCCCACTACCAGAATGTTGTTCTGTTCAGTAGAAATCTTCCTGTACATCCTCATTCACACCAACACTTCCCAGAATTGTCAATCTCCTGGGTTCCTCACAGCTTCCATTGGTTCTGCCTACTGACCTCCATGTTACTGATGTATCCTGTAATGAGCAGAGCTGTGGAGGACCCAAGAGATCAATTCTCCTGGAATTACCATTTTCTTTATTGTAGGTTTCTGCTGAAAAGAGCATTCTGACAGCACAGACAGTAGAAAAGGAAAGCACTCACTCTGTTATTTTGCAAGTACACCTGTTTAGTAAACTTTTATTAACCAGGCTTTTTTGAGTAGGTTGAATCCTGAGTCTTTTTTCTTTAAAAAAAAAAAAAAGAAAAAAAGTTTGAATTAACATGTTACAGTAATGATATAATTTGTCCTTCTCCTTCCAGTTTAACTCCAAGAGAATTCAATTCTTATGGGTCACGTAGAGGGAATGATGCTATCATGGCTAGAGGCACATTTGCCAATATCCGCTTGTTTAACAAGTTCATCAACAAGCAGGCTCCTTTAACTACCCATTTTCCTTCCAATGAAACGGTAAATACCTCATATTTTGGACAAATTATATATTTGCATTTCAACCATGATTAAGTTGTTTTCTTGCAGTTTAGTTTTAAAATATCATCAATAAAATAAACATTTATATCCACATTATTATTATTATTATTATAATACAGGATTTATATCGCCAACAGTTTGCTCAGCGCATTTCTTGTCATTACTAATACACCTGTGCACTTGACTAAAACCCACAAATGAGAGTGACAGAGAATATGCTGATGACATAAGATCTTCTTCAAAAGATGTTATCACTAAGTCACTATCTAAATTAAAGTGGTTGTAAACCCATACATATACCCAGTGAAGTGACTGGTCTCAGGTGATACACAGAGATGAAAAAAATCCTCCTACACAAGTTGTACCTGTCTGTCTACAGCTGTCTTGTCCCCTACATCCATTCAAAGTACAGAATTTACACAGGATCTCTCAGCTCTGAAAAGCATGGGGCGGAGACCTGAGGTTACATCAGTGAGGAGAGCTCCGAGAGCTGATTGGAGGAAAGGGACACACCCTCTCCACACAGCTCACAGGAACAGAGCTGAAGCAAAGGAATGAGGCAGCAGACAGAAATGACACTTAGTGCTCTGGATTGAGACAAGTACACACTTATAGAGGGAAATTGTTCATATTTCATGCCTGAGGTTTACATCCACTTTAGAAATCCTATGCAAATTTATATTCAACAAGCATAGACTAAAATAAGAAACTCAGTCTTTATTTCTGTCCAGTTAGTGGGTGATTGATATGATATGAGTGACTCGAGTGCTTTATTTGACAGATTCATGGCCTACCTACATAATGTACTTTATGCCCCTTCTGTTTGTCTGATATTTCTCAGTGTGTATGTGTATGAATCTTACACCACAGACATTTCAGAAGGGTAGAAGGGATATGTAGAAAGTAAGTGATATTTTGGCATCAGTTGCATCTTGTTAACTCAAACATGTTGATGGGATTTCCCTGATAAACTGTAGTACAAAAAATGCCATTTTCGTGTATTTATCAACCCATTATAGTTGTTTGAAATGGCTTGTCTTATTGGACTGTGTATGTAATCAACGTGACTGTGCAATAAATACTTTTAATAATCATTGGATTCCTTTTTTTTTTTTTTTTTCTAGCTTGATTTTTGATGCAGCTGAGAGATATCAACAGGCTGGCCATAATTTAATCCTCTTAACTGGTAAGGAATATGGATCTGGGAGCTCCAGAGACTGGGCAGCCAAAGGACCTTTCTTGCAGGTAAACTTATTTGGTAGGACCTGTAATGTCGCATGACATCACTAAAAGTAAACCTGTAAAGTGAGATACATAAAGACTTTTGTTGCTGACCTGGAACAGTTAAGCAGCCCAGGATATCTGACTCTGTTGGCTGCATGCCTATTCCAGATCAGTGACTCAAAAAGGCAGTGAAATGTTGATAGCCAGGCAGCTAACATTTTCAGAAGCTCGGTAGTGGTAGCTCCCATATTTCACTAGGTACAGGTTTCCTTCAAACTAGAGATACAAGACAAAAAAACTCAATAGAAAATGATAATAATATGTACAATTAGTTAAAAATGTGTAATAATTGAACATTGCCAATACTTATTTTTGGCTGGCTCAGCAGTTGTATGAGAATAACTATTTTTAATTGTGATACTCAACAGATGTTGTTTTTTTCCAAGAATAATGTACATTTTGTATACTTTGCTTATGACTCCTTGAAGCATTATGGTATTTTGGACCTCCTTTAAGATCAACCAGATATTATTAGAATCAGAAGCCTGGTGGTTTAGACCGGTAATATGATATGACCAGATTGGTGCCTAGTCCTAAAATTGTTGCAGCTTGCCAAGTTACAGTTGGATCAGCCAGCAGTGCGGCCACAACCCTGCCAAAAAAAAGCAATTTGGACTTTTGATTGATAAAGGACACTGTACCCATTTTTTTCTTTTCAGCATAATTTTTAATGTTATTTTAAAGAGCACCTGTCATTTTATTTAAAAGCACATACTGGATGTTATTATTTGTTGATGTTATGCACTTTATATTTGGGAGGATTTGCACTATATTTTCATTGTAGAGGTCAGAGCTAACACTCTTAAATTGTTTCCATAATAATAATGTTTTTTACTTTGAGAACAGCTGCTGCACTGATCCATAATTCTGTGACGCAGTTCAGTAATATTGTTTAATCTTTATAAGACTTATTGTATTTCCCAGGTAAAACTCCAGCCTACCAACACTGTATATAACAGCATGGTTAAGGTCTCACTGCTGGTATTTCCTGTGAAAGATTGGAATTTGTTTGTGTAGCTATGTGGAAACCCCTCTAAAACAGGAACTTCATTTCACCAATATTCCTCCTGGGATATGTAACGTATATATCCTAGGAGGCTTCATAGCATTGAAGACATCGCTCTCGCCTAGTCAACAGTGGCGGCTTGATGGTTGCAGTGGATAAAAAGATAGAAAAATTAAACAAAAACAGAAAAAAAATGCAGATTTTTGTTCGCACAAGAGGAACACAAGGATGCTGGGTGCACCCAGCGGTGAAATTCTACATTAAGATACTAATCTGATACTTAAAACTCTGCATTGTATATTAAACCAAGGACTTTTTTCAGGTCTAGTGTCACTCACACACTCTAATATGTATATTTTATACAGGGTATTAAAGCTGTCCTTGCTGAGAGCTATGAGCGCATTCACCGCAGTAACCTAGTTGGAATGGGTATAATCCCTCTACAGTATTTGCCAGGAGAAAAATACAGAGGCACTAGGACTCACTGGTAAAGAGCGTTACACCATTCTTATTCCTGAAGACAAAGATCTCCGGCCTGGCATGAATGTTGAGATAAAGGTAAGTTCTTTTTGATGATTTACACCTCAGTGTAAACTGGTGTAGGCAGCAGGCTGTGCAGGTACTTCTTTGTAAATGGCCATATTCCCTCTATGTGTGCTAATAGGTACCGTATTTTTCGCTCCATAAGACGCACCTGACCATAAGACGCACCTAGGTTTTAGAGGCAGAAAACAGGAAAAAAAAATTCTGAACTAATGGACTGCAGACATAGTACAGGAGATGACCAGAGACTGCAGACATAGTAGAGGAGATGACCAGAGACTGCGGACACAGTACAGGAGATGACCAGAGACTGCGGACACAGTACAGGAGATGACCAGAGACTGCAGACACAGTACAGGAGATGACCAGAGACTGCGGACACAGTACAGGAGATGACCAGAGACTGCGGACACAGTACAGGAGATGACCAGAGACTGCGGACACAGTGCAGGGGATGACCAGAGACTGCGGACACAGTACAGGGATGACCAGAGACTGCGGACACAGTACAGGGATGACCAGAGACTGCGGACACAGTACAGGGGATGACCAGAGACTGCGGACACAGTACAGGGGATGACCAGAGACTGCGGACACAGTACAGGAGATGACCAGAGACTGCGGACACAGTACAGGAGATGACCAGAGACTGCGGACACAGTTCAGGGGATGACCAGAGACTGCGGCCACAGTACAGGAGATGACCAGAGACTGCGGCCACAGTACAGGAGATGACCAGAGACTGCGGACCAGTGCAGGAGACTGCGGACACAGTGCAGGGGATGACCAGAGACTGCAGACACAGTGCAGGGGATGACCAGAGACTGCGGACACAGTACAGGAGATGACCAGAGACTGCGGACACAGTGCAGGAGATGACCAGAGACTGCGGACACAGTGCAGGGGATGACCAGAGACTGCGGACACAGTGCAGGGGATGACCAGAGACTGCGGACACAGTACAGGAGATGACCAGAGACTGCGGACACAGTGCAGGGATGACCAGAGACTGCGGACACAGTACAGGAAATGACCAGAGACTGCGGACAGCACAGGGATGACCAGAGACTGCGGACAGCACAGGGATGACCAGAGACTGTGGATAGTACAGGGGATGACTGCTGACCTTTGGGGAGGGGGGGGAGCGGGTACCTGAATTTGACAGATACCCGCTCCTACTTCCGCGGAGTTGTTCTTTCATCTTACCTGTTCCTCTATCCAGCCGCGCGCTGTCTTCCCGGCTTCTGTAATGGCGCTCGGCATGACAGCCGGGTGCCCAGTGCGCATGAGCGAGAAGCACTTGCGCTTTGTGATTGGTCCGGCGGCTTCTGGGATCTCTCATGTGTCCCAGGTGCCGCCTTACCATTCACAAAAAGCACCGCTTCCTGCGCATGCGCACTTGGCACATGGCTGTCATGCCCACACTACAGAAGCCGGGAAGACCGCGCCGCTGGATAGAGGAACGGGTAAGATGAAAGAACAACTCCACGGAAGTGGGAGCGGGTATCTGTCAAATTCAGGTACCCGCCCCCCCCCCCCCTCCCCAAAGGTCAGCAGTCATCTCTATAAGGTCCCGCTGTAGAGCTGAGCGACCGGCCCTGTATTCTGACACGGCGGCAGTGGAAATACCAGACCGGCCGCTCCATATTCGCTCCATAAGACGCACTGACATTTTCCCCCCTTTTTTTGGGGGAAAAAAGTGCATCTTATGGTACGAAAAAGACGGTATTCTCCCTTCATACACATGTTCATTCTCCCCTTTCATCCGACCAGCAGCTTATACTTTTTCTACTCCCTCACCGATCTATTCAGCAAACAAAGAAACTACCATTTATTTCCTGAATGGAAAGCATGCGACTCTCTTTCCTTCCTCCCACATGACCACATTGGTGCTGTGTGATTGGTTGCTCAGGCCCTCAATGTTGCCAGATAGAGGCAGAACTTTGGTCTTTCTATGTGTAAGCTTCATTTGATAACCCCCCCTTTTAAGATTCTGGTTTTCTGGCTCTCTGACTTTCAGCAAATCAGAATTTCAGATCTGAACAGTTGTTCTGGGCATTTAATCCAGCAACTATTATTTTTAGAAATAACAATTAGCAGTAGCAGCCAGCCTTGTTCTTTGTACAGATATGTGTATATATGGATGACCTTGGCCTTCGAATTGCACAAATGGGGAAAAAAAATATAAAAACCTAAAGTGGAACTTTAGGCTACGATGTAAATATTAGTGGACAGGTAGGATTTTTAATGCAGAAAATACATGCTTTGTCTCTTCTGCATCAATCTTCTTACCTGCCTGTGCACCACTGTACAGTAAGCTGCGCAAGTGCAGCTAACTGCACAAATTTGGCAAAGTCAAATCTGATGGAACTCCCGCGCATCTTCACCCAGCCGATGACAGTACCTAGCAATCTGAAGCAGGCTGCCCAAATACGTCAGCAGCCGGTGGTGAGTATTGGGAATGGAGCTTTGCTGTATTCTAGGTGAGTATGGTTACGCTCAAATTTTTTTTTTTTTTTTTTTTGCTTCAGCATACCTGTAGATAGGTAGTTATGGACTACTATTTCCAGGATAAATAACAAGCAATGTTAATTTTCTTTCTCTACAGCTTGATACAGGAAAAACGTTTGACGCTATAATGAGATTTGACACCGACGTGGAGCTCACTTATTACCGCAATGGAGGCATCCTGAATTACATGATCCGTAAAATGGCTAACTCTGTTTAATATAAAAGACCAGATGACCTGTCTTCAAAGATACCTATAGAAATTATATACTGATCATCAGATATCAAACACTTCTGCAGACTTAATTGACAGTATACTGAGAATGAACAGCTGTAAAAGGCAACCTCAGGGCCCTATGGGAAAGTAAAGTTTATTTTGTCTGGTTTCTCATGGCTGTCCAGATTTAGTACTGGTAAGCCTGACAGAATGAGTCACAGTCATGTTTTTGTGTTTTACCAAACAAAAAATACAATAAAGTTTCATCGTTTAGATTACTTTTTCATCATTGACTTCCGTCCAGTGTCTGTGGGTACCTTTTTAAAGGGTGGAGACAAGCAATAAGTTGTATTGTATTTTATCTACTGCACCGTGTATAGCATACCTTGTTGATAGTAATTTTTGGCCTAAGATGGTAGAATGTTGGTCCAGGAGGTGGCATTAATGACAAGTTTCCCAATGATTATTATAATTTGGTATTAAACTTAGCATACTCAATGATAACATTTATTTCGGAAATATGGAAACCTACTGCCTTTGCCCCCTACCCTTCATCAGTATGGATGAGAGGGGTTCTCTTCTCTACTCTTCCCTGAAGCTATGCCGATTGACTTCGCTTAGATTTAAAAGTGAAGCTTAGACTCGGCCACTCGTGTTCCTTATAGGCACAGTGCTTCCCCAGTTCCGTTTCTAAACCACAGAATCCCACTGAAAAAGCTGAGCTTCCTGAAGTGCTCCACTAGGCCTCAGAACTGGTTAAAAGGGTTTAAAGCCACCTGCCCCCTTGGCACTAATTGCAGAGCACAAATGCAGGAATTCCCTACTTTCCCAAAGAAAGGCTGAAACCACATTTAAAAACCCATTTATCATGAAAAAATATTTGCACAGGTTTTTTGTTTTTTTTTTTCAGTTTTCATATCCAGCTTTTTGTCATTAAGTGACAGGACTGTATCAGAGTTTCAGACTACTGCAATCCTGTCTCTTACCTCTTTTGGTCACTTGCTTATACTAACTAGTATCAGATCCTGTCACAGAGGTATACTTGCCAAAAAATGTGCAGAAAAGATCTTATTCCCCTCTGCCATTCCAAAAGCCAGGCCATTCTGAAAGGTCAAAACCTCTGACATTTTCTGGTAGTCTTGGAGAGCTGACCTATCCCCTCCTGCCTCCATGTATTCCTACTGGCCACTGAGGCAGCTCTTTGAATTGATTGGCCAATAGGAGGGGGATTGGCAGCTGAAAGCTCTGATACTTTCCAGAAGAGTCACAACTTTTCCTTTCCTGCTTGACCTAACATTTGGACATAGCAAGGCAATAAGGACTTGTATGTGTAGTATACCAGCTTCAATTGGGTGGTGGGGGATCAACAATTTCCTCATTTACAGAATTGTATGGAAGATTCCAAAGTAGGTATGCTCTCATAGGCAAAGTGGAATTGGCAATATTATGTTGCCCAGCAAGGACCTGTATTGAGTGTTGGACAACCCTTCCATCCTGGAAAACTGCTCATGTATACCTGAATTACAGGTATACAGTTATCTCTATTAGAACCGAAAAAAACTGTTTCAGGTTATGAGGGCTCTGCAGGGCATAAGGATTTAAACATTGCACTTTCTGTGTAAAAACAAAAGCTTTCCCATATAGATATGATGTTGAATAGGAATTGTAAAAGTGCTGTGACTGTGTGTAAAGATGGTAACCCATAGCAACCATTCATATTTTGAGTGTACTGTTGTCACTAGAGATTTGTTCTGTTTTGCTTTGGGTTAGTGCATTTTGTAGTTCACTCCAAAAAATCTGAAGGTCTCAGTTGTTTGTACTAGGAAGGAATTGATGTGTTGATTCTGTGTGTCTAGATTACATCTTCTGTTTCACACTTTTTTGCAGTGTTTTTTTGTTTTTTTTTTTTTTTTTTTCTTCAAATCCTGGATTATGTGCTCGTTAAAGGCCTTTTATCTTTACAAAATTGCTTTGTAAAAAAAAAAAGTCAAAATAAATCTATTTTCAGGAAATGTCTTCTGCCTAATTTTATTATGTCATTTCTTGTATTTCTCAGAAGTTTTATTCATATATAATAAAAGCTTTAGAACGTGATTAAATATCTGTACGTTTAGGGGTCAGCCTGCCCAAAACTGATTTGGTTTGATCATGGTTGAGTCAGCTGCTAGTTTCTCTTGCTTTTTGAAGACCCTGGTGTGACAGTAGTGAGGTCTGGGTACCCCAAAACTGAGTTAGTTTTAAATATACAGGATTCAGCATTTCATATACAACCCTCTTCAATGAAATTCATGATCTTTCTTAGCAGAGATCATACAGTCTCTCAGTATCCTAAAACCCAGTGAGAAAGGGAGGCAGGGCCTTAGTTAGCTAATGATATCTGGCATGTGTGCTCACAAAGACTGGAGCCTGTTATAAATTGATAATGGCTATTCTCAAACATTTCAGTTATTGACACACACCAGATCAAATAAATACATCGGTTGGCTGCTATTGGGTGGGCAGTAAAACCTCTGGGCAAGCTTAACAACCTGAATGTTGGTCTTAATTGACCATGGTAAAGCATTTAGACCAATACACAGTTAGGTCTGGCTTTCTGTGACTCCAGGCTGCCCTCCTAAAACAGCCCAGTTCTCGAAGTATGCACAATTTTCATATCTCTGGCTATAATGCAGATATATTTTTAAAGAACCTTTAAACACTATTGTATAGTGAAATAGCAATCATTTTAAGACTAAACACTCCTCTCTTGGAAGGTTTCCAAGAAGTGTACACATACAAGACCTCATAGTCTCTTGTTTGAAGGTTCTAGCAAGGGAGCTCAGCATTCGCATATACCCTGGACCAATGAAGGGTGTTTTTTCTTTTGGAGAAGCTCATGGATTGGTGAGGGAGGAAGAGGGCATCTGCCTAGCTAGCCAGATCAGCAAAATCAACCCTAGTGATTTAATGGGGTGACAGATATTGCAGCCAGATCACCCTTACATCCCACAATTTGTCTCTATCAACTCAGGAATTCTGCATAATAATTTGTTGGTTGCCTGAATGTAAAATATGTTAAACCAGAAATATGGATATAATTAGGAAGCTGACTCCTTGCCAAGGTTTGCTGTAAAATACAGTATATAAAACCTTTCAGCACTCCTATCTCCCTCCTCCTACCCCTGGCATTTGGGTGAGGGGAGGGCTTAGAGACACCCTCTAGAACACAGGTGTCAAACTGGCTGCCCTCCAGCTGTTGCCAAACTACAAGTCCCATGAGGCATTGCAAGATTGACCATTACAAGCATGATTCCCAAAGGCAGAGGCATGATGGGACTTGTAGTTTGGCAACAGCTGGAGGGCCGCCAGTTTCACACCCCTGCTCTAGAAGGTCCACAAAATGTTTCTGCATCAGCAGTCTGGAGTGTTGCTTTTACCATCAAAACAAAGAATATCAGTCACATGACTTATTTTTTTATTAGAGCCACAGAATCGAATTTGATTAATGCCCATTGACTGAACTTTGCCGAAACCCAAAGAACTCAGTACTTTAAAAGGATAAGTTCACCTTTCGTAATGTGTTACGTTACAACCCATATTCACGATGTAAGATGGTATGAATGCACCCATTTCTGCTCGCTGCCCCACTTTGACATCAAGTGGGGGATCTTCTCTCCACCCCCTAGCTGTGAAATTTAAAAAAAAAAGTCCTCTGCGAATGAGAAACCACAATTCCCGACAGCCTTAGCAGCTGTCGGCTTGTAGTTCTCAATGAACTACCACGATAGTTCTTTCATTCTTCCTTTCAGTATATCTGCTTGCCCGTACATCCCGTATGGGCAAGCAGATATACTGACAGCTCTGCAAGAGACCTGCATGGCACCAGCGACCTACTGATCGCGGGAGCAATGGTTTACAGGCTCCTGCAACAAAAAAAAAATAATGCACTTTTTTTTTTTTTTTTATCTGCAAAAAAATATGTATTATATTTTTTTTTTAGCAAAAGGTGAACTTGCCCTCCAGAGGATTTACCCCCTCTTCCTGACCATGCCATTTTTTGCGTTACTTTAACTGACAATTGCGCAGTCATGCAACGCTGCACCCAAATGAAATTTATGTCTATTTCCCACGAATAGAGCTTTCTTTCGGTAGTACTTGATCACCTGTGTTTTTTGTTTTTGTTTTTGTGCCAAAAAAAAATAGACTGACCATTTTGAGAAAAAACTATATTTTTGACTTTTTGCTATTAAACATGTCCAGTAAAAAATTTTAAAAATCAAATTTCGTCATAAATTAAAGCCAAAATGTATTCTGCTACATGTCTTTGCTAAAAAATAATCCCAATACATGTAAATTAATTGGTTTACATGAAAGGTATAGCATTTACAAATGGTAGTGTGTATATACAGTATACTGGTATTTGTTTTATTTTTTAATTTTTACTAGTAATGACCGTGATCAGCGACTTATAGTGGGACTGCAGCGGGAATTCTGACACTGGGGGGAACTGACTTGATGTCACTGGCATCCCCAGTGACACCAATACAGTGATCAGTGCTAATAAGTCATAACTGTCATTGCAGATATTATGATCTGTTTGTGTTTCCAAAAAAAAAAAAAAAAAACCATGGTGGCAGCTCTTTGGTGTGTAACAGGTTAAAGGTGTAGTTAACTAAACCCATTGTTGATCACTCTCAGTCTGCTAGACCTAGATTGTGGTCATATGAGCTGGAAATTTTTTGTGCAGGGTGAGTGTTTAGAGCATTATTGTGCTGTATTGGTAGCAGCAAGACAAGATCTGGTCTGCTGTTTGGCTGACACCACTGTTGTCATATCCAGTAGTGTGATCTCAGAACTGGAGTCTCCATACCTGCCCCCCCCCCCCCCCCTTGGAGACCTGGTGTAATGGTTGTGTGTACCTGGCACCTGAATAGATGTGTGTGTAGCAGACATTTTGTTCAGGTCACAAGTCTTCCATGCCCTTTTGTCAGAAGAGAATAATGGCCACAGTGACCTTCTCCTTT